CATATCAATGTTCCTAGGCGTTGATGCATCTACCTGTATCCTTCTACCATGGTATTCACACATTTAGAACTCCAAAGCCTGTCTTTTCCATTTGCCGCACAGCTTTGCAACATTAGTTTAAAGTGGTCGGGCCACACATCAAATTTTCTGGTTTTGTAGCAACATTTCTCACTCACAACTTTTTTATGACTCTCACACGTGCTGCAATGCAGTACTTCGGATTGTCTTCCCATAAAATAACGCTTTCTCTCTGCGCCTTGTCAAAAGAACACTAGGCTTATTTTACGTTTTTAGAAATTTGACGCGATAAACTAACATCTAATGATTTATTTGAGTTGTATTGTTTAAACACATCCATCAAATAAATCACAATAGAGCAATTACCGCGATAAAGAGCTTTAACTTATTTAACTTTTTTTTGTTTATCCATCAGATTTTAATACAATTGATTTTATGGCACATAACAAAAAAAGTTTTGTAAACAAAAGGCAAGTCATTTTCGTTGTTGGAATTAAGAAACTGTTTTAAGTATTATTTGTAGAAATTGCTGAGATTTATTTGAATGATAATTTTAAATGTTGGAAAACAAAAAGCAAAAAACAAAACAGAAAGTCAAGTGTTTGTCCATTAAATATCTAATGGATAATGAGGGTGCATTTGTGACTATAGTAATCTAGGCGGTATTGTGTTTTGAAGTTGAAATAGCCAGGACAGAAAACTACTTTTGGGGATTAAGTAGAGAAATTATAATTAGTATTTATATTATTTTTGAATGTTATATAATTAGATGTTTCGTCCCGGAACCTGCAATAATATACCAATTTTAACAGTTTTTTCGAAAAGCTAGATTTTTATATGTTTTCTTATACGACGCCAATCGGAGGTTGTTATGATATACATTTTTCAACAATTATAACGAATTTCAATAGTTTGTAATTCAAAATTTTTAATTTCAAAATTGGTTTGACAGTTCATTGTCCCAGCAGCTGGGTCAATGCGACTGTCTACCATTCATCCACCATGAGTCCTATCGATGGCAAAAGTGTTGCCAACTTTAATTTAGACTTTTCATTCATAATTTTTGCGTTTGATATCGGTGATCCGATATTTATGAGTAACTCAAGAAATGAGTTTAAAAAATCCCACAACAGCTTTTAATTTATTTCAAAATATTTGTTGCTTCTAAACCTAAGAAAACCCCCCTTTTACTAGTCACTCTTAAATAATAACTATATTTCTACGTCATTGTAAAACTATTAGCGCAGTATGTAATAAACTTCGTTTTGTAATTATTTCAAAACACGCAGACGTTAATCAAAAAAAAAAAAAAAAACTTGAGAGTTATGAAATTGTTAACAAAAAAACTATTCTTGGAAGTTTTCATTACGAAAATAAATTCAAGTTTTACTACTATCATCGGGCACATTGAAATAATTGCATTGTTACGATATATAGAATAAAATTAAATTGTTTTTTAAAGGAATTCCAATGAAAATTATTTAACAGTTGACGATTTTATTTCTAATTGAATTGATTATAAGGGGGTGAAAAAAAAAACAAAATAAATCAAAAGCTCAACAGCTGTTTACAATAGTGGCCAACAAGACCGGTTCACACATGGTGATCTAAACGTAAACAATTTTGACACTTTGTCTGATTCATGGAGAAGGAGAAAGAATATAGGTAGACGCATCGACACAGCTTTCTGGGACAATGAACTGTCAAACGAATTTTGAAATTGAAAATTTTGAATGAAAAATTATTCCAATTTGTACAAATTTTTGAAAAATGCAAACATCCTCCGAATGTTGTCGTATAGAAAACGTATAAAAATTTACTTATTTTTTAAAAAAATATTTTAAAAATTTTGACATATCAATGTTCCCATGCATTGATGTATCTACCTGTATTCTTCTACCATGGGATTTTTCGCAGTTGATTAGTTGTCAAAATACATATTCTTAATGGAATCCCAGCACGACATGTAAACAAAGAACAAGAAAAAAGTTAACAAATTTTGACATTTAGTCTTTTTCCTTCACAATGATGACATTTGTTTGTCTTACGTGAGGAATTCATGGTAGAAGAATATAGGTAGATGCATCAACGCTTGGGAACATTGATATGTCAAAAATGTTTTTTATATGACGAAAATCAGAGGTTATTATGTAATGCATTTTCAACAATTTTTACAAATTTTAATAATTTTTCATTCAAATTTTTCAATTCCAAAATCAGTTTGACAGTTCATGTCCCAGCAGCTGTGTCGATGCGACTACCTGTGTTCTTCTACCATGGAGGAATTCTTATCTAATGTCTTGTTTACACAAAACAGTTTTCTAAATCTATCCAAAAATATCTTCGGTAATCGCATGGTAGAATGAAGAAGGTAAATTCCTGCAATCATATGTTTATAATTTTTTCAAAATTATTCATTTGACACAACTTATTTTCAAAATTTGTATTTATGCACAGAAATGAGATATGGCAACCTGTTTTTAATTCCGTGACATTTGACAAGGTAATTTACAGAAAATGCAGAGCCGGATATTGTTATTTAAAATTACTTTACCATCTTATTTTACCATGGGTAATTGGTGAATAAAAAAAATCGTGGGTAGAGAACCAGATTTTTTATATTTATCATTGAATACAACACGAAACAATTCTAAAATTTATTAAATAAGCGATTAAATTAAATTTAAATTAAAATAAAAAAATAAATTGCAAAATAAATTTAATCTTTTGTAGGAACAGGTTTAATATTTTTAGCATTTATCTAGGCTTCAATAAAAATGCAAATTAAAAAACGACCTTGTTAATTTGTTATTACTTTTAAAGGATATCATCCGAAGTATATATTTTATGTGTTTTTTCTTTTCTTTTCTGTTTATTTACGGAAATATCTTGTTTTATTACACATCGAACTGCTGCGTAAAACAAGTTCATTACATTAACATTTATCTGCAATGAACTTTAATGACTTCCAAAACCGACAACCTTTATTTTATCAAATAAATTAATTTCATTTAATATTATCAGAATGACAATTAACGCCTGGTATTTCCTGGAATTTGCAATAGAGTATTGAGTGTTCGTTCGTAAGGAATAACTTAACACTTCTTTGAAAATTAAATGGAATTTTTTTTTATAATTATTTAGTTGTTTATTATGGAGAAATTAACTGAATGTTGGTGGGAATCAAAAACAGAGAGGTAAAGAAGTTTGTTTATTGCTCCCTCTCTCTCTCTCGTGGAGAAACAAAACAAGACAGGCCAAGAAATTTGTGTATTTTTCTTTACTTCGCACTCTCTCTCTCTCATGGAGAAACAAAATAAAGCCGTTGTTTCATATATTTGAGGTGCATGCTGACACCTGTAATTATAAGAAACTCATTTATAAAGCTTTCTGGTCACACATCAAATCAGAAGTACTTATGAGACAGCGAATAATTAAAAATCGAACATTTTTATCCAATTTTATGCAAAATCATAAATTCTCTCTAGCCATATGGCTGAGGGTATAAAAATTACTTAAGAATTTTATGAACCACCCATCCATGATTGGACGCTAATTTGTTTGATAGTTTAAAATAAATTATTTCTGATTAGATTTAGATAATTAACGCAAATATGAGTTGCTTGAATTGAAATGGAATGGCCTTAACAACATAAACTTTGTAGGGAAAATTGCAAATAACAACATAGGTATTGAACAAATTAATTAAATTAAAAAAAAATTAAGAAACAAGATTTAATTGCATTTCCCCCGATTACAGAACAATTTTATGGTTTTCGATTCAAAAGGAATTTTGTTGTAATGCTGTTTTTTCTTTGATCCTGAGTATACAAGCGGTATCCTTTATAAGAATTTTCTTTCTCTTTTTTCTCTTCTTCTTCTCATCTCTATTATTTTAGCCATATCAACGGTCCGGTGACTAAAGCCTTTGACTTCGAGTCAATAGACGAAAGTAGCAAATAGAGTTCTAAGACCAAAAAATAATAATAACAAAAAAAAAAACAAAAGAAATTAAAAACAAAACCAAATCCATGTACACAATCAGCAACTTTTCACACACAAATACTACTACACAACCTTGCCCCCACTACACGCCCTTCAACAACGCTTGCGTAAACCCTGACATGTAAAGGTTTTACAACACCGGCAGACACCAGCACCAAAAAAGGAAACACTCACACACACATAGTTGCAAAAGAAAAACAAAAGAAATTATTACCTATTATTAATAAATATATTTAATAAGTAGCACTTAATTATTATAGTTTAGTTATAACACATACTTAATTATTATTAAAACAGAAGAAAGAAAGAAAAACAAAACAAAGAAAACGTGTGATATTTCCTAATTTTCTCCTATCCACTAATATTTCTTAAATTCTTGTCAATTGTTTTCAATTTATTATTTCTCTCCAAAAAAAAAAACAAACGAGGTGATATGTAAAGAAAGTGAGAGAGAGAAAACAACATAAATTAATTGGTAACAAAAAAACTGTTATGAGATTATTTAACGCCCTCTAGAGTCAATGTAATTAACTAAAGTTCAATTGTAAACAAAACAAAGCACACACACGCATACGCTCAACCAAATGTAAACCGGAAGCATTTGTTCTTAAATATCTACTCTCTCTCCCTTACTCACTCACTCACACTCTCTCTCATGTGTTATATGTACATAGTAAGCAACGCCAGCAGAGCAAACAGCGCTGCTCTATTTATGCCGTAGTTTGCCTGTGTGTCATTGATGTAAGTCAAACAAGAAGCCTTCTTAGTTTTGTTTATTACGTACATAGATATTTGTTTGTTTGTATTTTTTGTTGTTTTTTGTATTTTTGCAATCGAGGAAACCAAAAGTATTATACAAAGCATTCCTACTTATTATTATTATAATAATTAATATTATTATTATTATTTTTAAAACTATAATTAGAAAAGCAAAAAATTTAATTGATTTAAATTTCTTTTGTAAATTACATAAAGTATATACATATTTTTTTTGATTACTGCAATTAATTGCAAAACAATGCAAAGAAGAACAATAAATTATATTAATTTTCCTAAATAAATCACTATCACACACAAACGTACACACACCATTGTACATATAATTATATATCTTGTAAAATAATTATTAAAACTTATTGAATAACAACCAAAAAAAAAAAACACAAAACAAAAAACTATGTCGCTCAACGGCAGAGAAGCCGATACATCATCGCATCAATGGCAGTTGGAGAGCAATAACAATGACCTTCACAAAGATACATCCTTGACAGCGCCGCCATCGGCGAATACAGTGCCGTTTGGCAAACAGTCAACGCCGCTGGCATCCTCTACAGCGGCGTTTGCAGCAGCAGCCACAGAAGCAGCAGCGACGACGACAACAACAAACCTAGATGCACATTTCCCCAGTCTGACTAGCAACAATGGCAGTGATAATCATAGTACGAGCAACAATAGTCTGAGTAGACGATCGCTAGATGCGCACCACACACTAGACATACAACAACCACCAACCAACGACAACAAAAACAGTAGTAGTAAAGCCCCAACAACAACACCCACAAATGATACAACAAAATCATTAAACTCCACACCCCATGAATACACCAGCGGCAATGGTGTGCCACATGGTCATTATCGTTATACTCTGCCGCCACTAACAAATTACAGCAACAACAAAACAAATCACACCAACAACATACCCACCATACAGCATCAACAATCGCAGGATGATAATTTTAAATTGTTTACAATTTATGGAAATGGTGAGTTAGAAGTCCCACTCTCTCTCTCTTTCTCTCTCCTTTTTCATAATTTTTTTTGTCGAGAAATTTGCATAGCAAAGTAACTGTTTGTTGTTTTCTGTTACGACTTTTGGTTTTCTTGTAAGAGAAATGTTTTTTTGTAAAAACAAGTATAGAGGTAGCCCAACGTTGTTTGAGAATTATGGTTTTTTTATATATTTGTTAACAAATTCACAAATCCCCATAGTTAATATATGACAAGCCCCTTTTATTATATCTTTTCTTTATAAAAATTAAAAATTTCTTATGTATAGTACGGTAAATTGTTATTTTGGATTATTTAGTAACCCACTTCACTTTCTAACAAAAAAAAAAATTGGCGGGAAACAACATCTGAGAGTCTAATAAGAAATTTCTCAGCTGGAATGACACTTATTGCTCTCTGTGTAGGGGAAATGAAGTTGCATGGCCACACGTTCAATTTGTACTATATTTTGGTGTTTAAAACCTTACGGCCACAAATTAAAGATGAAATTAAGTTATATAGTTAATAATGTTTTCTTAATAAGACGATGCTTACATTTAAGCCCTTTATTTTCATAGTTTATCCGGTTTACACATGAATAATTTTAATGCAAAGTAAGAAAGACGTCATCCAAGTCTTTCTTACTTTGCATAAAACGCTTAATTTCAAGGAATTTAATTGAATGAAATTTCTCAGGCGTATATAGGGACTTATAACCAAGATCTTCACGATTTGTTATCTGAAAATATTTGAGATTTTTTTTGTGTGCAATGGTCATAGCAGAATAAATAAATGAGGCGTATTCCCATTGAGTTTAACCATTGGAACTAGTTCATGTTTATTTTTGTGACCTTCCTTACAAATCATTAGGCCTCGTTATAGGAGGCAACTACTTCAAAGAAACTTTTCTCTGAAATAAATTGGGGCATGTTTTTTTTATGTCTTCACTTACAAATCATCAGTCATCGGAACTAGGTCATGTCTCTTTTTTATGTACTCTCCTACAAAGGAGGAACTATTCACTTTTATGAACTGATGGAACTTGCTTCCTATTGTTCTTCTTCTTACTGGGAAGGTTGGGCCTTTTTCAAAAGGAATTACATTGATGAGAACACTGTAACAGTAAGTAATTCTTACTTTCCCTCCCATTAAAGGGAGTACACACGGAACACGGATATTGTGTTTAGACCATCCTCAAACTCTTCAAATATTAAATACTGACAGTAATTCTTATTTGGCACGATTATCGCCTCAATTGGATCATACCCGGGTCAAATAAAGCTTTGTCAAAAGAAAAAAGTGATTTGAACATTTTTACGTTGCGGAAAACTAGTTTAAAAGAAACTATTCACTTTTATGAACTAATGGAACTCTCTCCATAATTTTCTCTTTTTTACTGGAAAGATCGGTTATTTTTCAAAAAGAATCACAGTGCTGAGCAAAATTATGAGAGTAATTAATTCCTTCTTTCCCTCTAAGTGGTGGCAGTACACACGAAACACGGATATTGTGAATATTATGTTAATATCAAGCATTGACAGTAATTCCCATTTGGCGCACACTACTATTATCGCCACAACTGGTTCATATACGGGCCATAAATAAGATTGCCCAATGGTAAAAGTGATTTGAAAATTGTTACGATGCAGAAGACTAGTTTAAAGAATCTATTCACTTTTATGAACTGACGGAACTCTCTCTCCATAGTTTTCTGTTTTTTACTAGGAAGGTTGGTTTTTTTTTCTAAGGAATCACGGTGCTGAGCAAAATTATGAGAATAATTAATTTCTCCTTTCCCTCCCAGTGGAGGGAGTGCACAGGGAACACGGATATTGTGAATATTATGTTAATATCAAACATTGATAGTAATTCCCATTTTTTTTATTCTCTCCTCAACCGGTTCATACACGGGCCAAATATAGCTTTGCCCAAAGGTCAAAGTAATTTGAAAATTGTTACGATGCGGAAAACCAGTTTAAATGAACTTTTCACTTTTGTGAACTGATGGAACTAGCTCCATATTTTTCTACTTCTTACTGGGAAAGTTGGGGCTTTTTTTCAAAAGGAATGGCAGTTAGGCTATAGTTAGAGTAATTTATACTTGCTTTCCTTTCTTTTTTCTCAAACTCCCCAACAAAATCAAATGGTAATATACCAGTTAGTATCAAATATAGACTAATTTTCATTTTGGCACGCGCTCAAAGGTTTCAAAAGTTAAGGTAATAACTTAACTATAATTATTTTCTAAACAATTTCACTTTTCTATTTCGAGATTTAAGAATTATCAGCATTTCAATGCCACAAATTTCAAGTGCATACTAAATTACAGTTAAGCTGGAAATACATTTCGATAAGGCGAAATAAATCGAATTCTGCCTTACGACCGAAACAGAGTCAGCTATTTGCGTCATAACGCATTTGTTGTTGGATTACTTCTGTCTCAATTCAATTTTGTGGTAACTCACAAAGTTACACGCCAATCCATGCACATTGACAGAAGTCAAGTGTTGTTTTGGATTACCATTACCTCTACTTGCCTTGGCCAATAAAGAAAGCACATGACCTTCAATTTGTTTCGGCCTTTAAAGATTATTTTTCCCCCCAGTGATTCATATTGGCGACAAAAAAAATGTTTGTTCTTGATAAATGTATTTCTTCGAAAAATTCAAGTAGAGTGTAAAAATAATTGTTTTTTTTTAAGATTCCATTTTTTTGTTTCAATTTTCTAAGATTATTACCTTTGAAACGTTGCATTAATCGTAAAATAAAATTGCCTTATCAAAGTAGAAGAACACATGTACAACAAAAACAAAATGTAAATATTGATAAGTTATTATAATCTGATTTCAAAATGTGATGATTTTTATACGTTTTGAATTTTTTTTAGCTTTTGTTTGTTTTACAAAATCGTAATAGTGAGGATTTTTTGTCGTGTGGAATAGGATTAGTGCAAGACGTCATGACTCTGTACCGGGGATGGGAGTTTTAAATGTTATACTATCGACATGGTAGAAGAATATCAAGGTAAATGCATCAACTCTTGGGAACATTGATATGTAAAAAAAATTTTAAATGTCTTTTCAAATGTAAGTAGATTTTTATATGTTTTCTTATACGACGTCATTCGGAGGTTGTTATAATACGCGTTTTTCAACAATTTTTACAAATTGAAATAATTTTTCATTCAACATTTTCAATTTCAAAATTGGTTTGACAGCTCATTGTCCCAGCAGCTGCGTCGATGCGTCTACCCATATTCTTCTACCATGAATATCGATTCTTAACGATAGTGCGATAAGAAAAAATGAGGTGGTTTCACATGCAACTGTATTGCAATGGGGGACGTTTTAAATGGTGAAGCAGCTCAAAGATTAAATCGTGACATTGAACAATGTTGCCATTTTAGCTGACAGAAACGTGAAAATACAACACTGTTGTCAGCTATTTTTGTCTTTTCACGCCGAAGCCATGATTTAGCTTTGCTCTGTTTAAGCCTTAAGAGACTTGCATGTCTTGCTGAAACATCAACGGGAATTTGGCGTCAATAACTCAACATTAGGTGGATTCACAGACAGGGTTCTAATGATTATTTAGAATATTGAACTTTTTAAACTTCTAACAATAAAATATTGATGATTCTGAACAAATAAATTAAAAAAAAATATATAAAATTCAAAACATAACTTATTTCTAAGAATTCAACTATGAAATCCATTTATTTTTAATTCTAATATTATTTTTTTAACAATTGACACGACTTTTTTTATGGCTTATACCCATTGTTTTTTTTTTCACATAATCTCATCATCATTATTTAACAAATTAATTCTTTCATCACTCATTTGTTGCCATTATTTTGTTCTAACACTCTAATCGATATTCGACACAAAGCTACAAAAACAACACGGTCAGCGGAGCATGTTTTGTGCATTTTGTGCTTAAGTGCAAAAGTGTGATTTCCAACATTCTGTCGTTTTTAAGATATTTGAATGTGTTTTTTTCCTGTAGTCATAATTGTTTAACCATTATTTTTTGTATTGTTGTCAAGATTTTTGTTGAAATATTTAAGTAAGCACTTTAAATATTTAGCTTTTTTTACTAAATTTCTTTTTGTTTACTTTTTTCCCTTTCAAAAAAAATTGTTTCCACAGACACCGACAATGACAAATTGTCCGGTCTACCACATTCGACAACCGGTTCATTAAGCTCAATCATCACGACGTCCATAGCATCCTCAGAACCTGATCCTGGAGCGGGCGGCGGAGGTGGTGGTGGTGGCGGCGGCAATGGCGGTCCCGGCAGCCTTGGCCATGATGGACAAAGTAGTGTGGACGAAAAGATGGCCCTCAATCGGCCGGGCATCAAACAGGAAAAATGGACAACGATTTTAATACAGGTTTCAATACCATTCTTTTTGGCTGGTATTGGTACGATTGGAGCTGGCATTATATTGGGCAGAGTAGAGGTGAGTAGTCAAATTAAAAACACAAAAAAATAGCAGAATTTTAAAAGCCCAAAAAATTAAATAAAATAAAATGATGTGTGGTCAGATACCTTTAAAAATGTATTATTCATAGGTGTGCCTGGTTACCCTAATTGTTACCATAGACAAATTAAGGTATAGACTAAAAAGTTGTCTCATCTGTTATCTTCGAAAAAAGTGCTTCAATAGATGTCGTTCATGCTGTAAGAGAGGTTCAGTAGACTCACTCAATTCTCTCACTATACAAAATATTGAATATTTTTATGATACTTTAATATTTATCAATTAAAAACGAAACAGTGACTTTGTTTACATTGACATTACCCAACTATGTCGTAAAATATAAAAATATGGAACTTAAATAGCAAAAAAATGAATAAATTGTTTTCGAAGTCGAGTGACTTCACTAGCCCTGAGTGACTTAACTGGCCCAAGATCAACCATAGTGACATCTGCCGGAAGGGGTAAATTTTAAAACTTTTTAGTCTATACCTTCATTTGTCTATGCTAACAGTAACAACATAGACAAATGAAGGTATAGACTAAAAAGTTTTAAAATTTACCCCTTCCGGCAGATGTCACTATGGTTGATCTTGGGCCAGTTAAGTCACTCAGGGCTAGTGAAGTCACTCGACTTCGAAAACAATTTATTCATTTTTTTGCTATTTAAGTTCCATATTTTTATATTTTACGACATAGTTGGGTAATGTCAATGTAAACAAAGTCCCTGTTTCGTTTTTAATTGATAAATATTAAAGTATCATAAAAATATTCAATATTTTGTATAGTGAGAGAATTGAGTGAGTCTACTGAACCTCTCTTACAGCATGAACGACATCTATTGAAGCACTTTTTTCGAAGATAACAGATGAGACAACTTTTTAGTCTATACCTTAATTTGTCTATGCTGTTAGTCGTCTGTTAACACAAAAGAGAGCGAGCCAAGAGAGAACATTTGACAGTTCTTCAACAAAGACTTTGCAAATTCATGCATTCACTTGAAACTCGTCTTCTTCTCCTTTCGATGATTTTTATTGTGGGCATGCAATTTCGAAGTATCGTTATTTTGAAAATTGCAAGCCTAATAGAAATTAAATCTAAGAGTGGAAGTACATAAAGCGCATATTTGGCTGGCGTCTTCGTAGATGAACAAAGGAGTTTTAGGTTAACTTAGTTCGATTTTGGCCCAAGGCTCCTTTGTTCATTTCCGAAGAAGCCAGCCAGATAAGTGTTTTATGTATTCCCACCTTAAGAGTCCAATAAGAAATTTCTCATGACAAATGACACATATTGCTCTTTGTAGAAAGGAAATGAAGTAGCATGGCCATACGTTCAATTTGTAGTATAAATTTTGGTGTTTTAAACAGTCAGGTCATAAAATAAAGATCAAAATATGGTCTGTTCCAGAACTGCAAGAATGTAAACGTATGATATCGAAAAAATCGCACAAATTGTAGATTCTTGCAAGTTCTGGAACAAATCAATAAATTACAGGGTAAGATAAAAAACTGCAACAAAATCAAACACCGTAACTTTTACATATATATTTTTTTTTAATTTTATTGAATGAAAGCAAAAAATTTTTGAAATAGCAGCAAATTTTAGAATAAGTTTAGATTTGTTCGAAATCGTTACCTTTGGCACGAATTATTGTCTTCAAACGACCAATGAAACCGTCACACGCTGCCCGAATGTTGCTGTGCGGTATTTTGGCCCATTACCGGCGATGCGCTTGTTTGAAGTGATCGACTCTTTGGTATTTTTTAGTGCCAACCTTGCTTTCAAAAATGCTCCAATAAATTGGCATCCGGAGGTTTTGGTGGCCATTGTGCGCTGGAAATGAAGCGAGCAACCTCATTTTGTAACCGTGCTTCTGAGTGCGATCGTGCTGAGTCCTGTTGGAATGTCCAAGGTCTGCGGCCAAAATGTTTGCGTGTCCAAGTCTTTAATATACCCTCCAGGATATTTTCGCTATAATGTTCGGCATTTATTCAGATGCCACGGTCGTTTAATACGAGCGGGTAGCGACCATCAGTTGTTATGACTGCCCACACCATGGCCGGCGCTTGAATTCTGCTGGCCAATCGAAGTTGCACATTTTCAGCTGACGTCTTTGTCATGATCATTTTGTTTGTTTACAAAGTGCTAAACTACGAATGTTATCTCACCGGAGACAACCTAATTCGGCAGTGCAGTTCACCACTTTCTGCCAAGCGAAGCAACTCTTTAGCTCCTTTGAATCTATTTTCTTTCTGTTGCGGTGAAAGTTATTGCCATTTTTTGAAATTTCAGTGGCTTTACCCCGAGCTCATTTTTCAATATTTGCCGAATAAAATATTGCGATATGTTCAGCTCAGCAGCCATTTTTCGGCCACTGCGACGCGGATTTGTATAAAGTCATTTCTTTTCTTTTCGAACCATTTCTGCTGATGTTGCTGTTTACTTCCGTCCACTTCCTTGACCTCGGGCTACGCTACCAGTATCACGGTACCAGTCACGATGGTACAAGACACAAAAGATTTATTCACATTTAAATGCTGGAGTGCTCTAACGATAGCCACTTGTGGCTTTCCAGTTAAATATAAAGAAATCACTCTATCACGCTTGAATTCCATCACGAATAACTTTTTTCTGGAAAATTCTCACCAAAATGCTTTTGTACACTTGTAAACAATATAATGAGCTGTCACTGGAATCATTTTGACAGCTGTCGGACGAGTGGCTTAGAAATGACAGTAGTCTCAAATTTGTTGCAGTTTTTTCATCTCACCCGAATAAAGGATACAATTCGAGTCTTCTTCTTTTGAGTAAACTTAGCCATGTACTGCGAATGGTTAACATTTTATACCTTAGAACTATTCATGTCTTGTACTAATTACGATGTAGGGAACGCTACTTGCGAAATATGATTGGTGTATTATAAGTAACAACAAACGAAGAGAGTGTGAATGGTAGAAGAATACAGGTAGATGCATCAACGCTTGGGAACACTGATGTGTCAAAAATTGTTATATGTGTCTTAAAAAATAAATAGATTTTTGTATGCTTTCTTATACGACGTCATTCGGAGGTTAATATAATACGCGTTTTTCAACAATTTTTACAAATTTAAATAATTTTTCATTCAACATTTTCAATTCCAAAATTGGTTTGAGAGTTCATTGTCCCAATAACTGAGTCGATGCGTGTAGAAGAATACAGGTAGATGCATCAACGCTTGGGAAAATTAATGTGTCAACAATTTTAAAATGGTTTTTTTTTTTTTTTCAAAAATAAGTAGAGTTTTATATATTTTCCTTTACGTCGCCAATCGGAGGTTGTTATGAAATGCATTTTTCAACAGTTTTAACGAATTTGAATGATTTTCATTGAAAATTTTCACTTTCAAAATTGGTTTGGCAGTTCATTGTCCCAGAACATGGTAGAAGAATATAGGTAGACGCGTCGACACAGCTGCTTGGACAATGAACTGTGAAACCAATTTTGGAATTGAAAATGTTGAATGAAAAATTATTTGAATTTGTAAAAATTGTTGAAAAACGCGAGTTATAATAGCCTCCGAATGACGTAGTATATGAAGGTATATGAAAATCTACTTATATTTGAAAAAACCATTTAAATTTTTTGACATATCAATGCTCCCAAGCATTGATGCATCTACCTGTATTCTTCTGCCATGTCCCAGAAGCTGTGTCCGTGTGACTACCTGCATTTTTCTACCATGGCCACAAATGTAACGAACAGAGCAGAATATGCGTTAAATAAATTACGAATGGTTGTAAAACTTAATTTTGACAATTGAAAATTTAAATTTGAGGTTTTCGGTGTATTTAGTTACCCTATAGATAAAATTTTACTCAGTCTCTACAAACAATTTTATTAAAAAAACAACGTCATATACTCTATATAATCGCATTTACTTTAATGTTAATATTTCACACGTTGTTTGTCTTGAAATGAAAAAAATTTCCACGCTTGATGACAATTTTTCATTGTCTAGATCATTAAATCAGCCCATCAAACCATGGTGTTAATTGTAATTATTTAATTAGAGGTTACTTTGCATTAACTCTTAAATTAATTTGAGTTTTTTTATTTTCATAATTTTACGTATGATTCTCTTTTGGGTTCCCATAGTAAAAAACAGATTATAATCTGTTAAATAATTGAATTGTTATTTTTGTTATTTTGATGGGTGAAAAAATAATTCAATGACATCTATGAGACATGACATGCATGCAATATGATTTAACAAAGTTTGTTTAAATATATGTTTTAAGGTTCTGACACACAGACAAACAATAGGGCAGAGAATTGTTTTGTTGATAACACACATTGACATGTGTACGTCAAAAACGTATATGTCAATAAACAACAAACAATACCCATATGTTTGATTGAACAACCGCAGTAGCTTTGAACAAAATTTTTGATTTACTCATTGGACTCTCATATTTGGTAGCAGTGTGACGTACTTACATTTTTGTGACAGACATGCCCATCATGACTCAAAAAAACAAACAAACAAACACAGAGTTCTATGGGGGTTTCCTCTATAAAAATATATAAATACCATTTTACATATAAGCAAACATAAATATGCCCCCAAACTACATTTCAAATTGCAAATGCAACACGTTTTAGTAATAAACTTTCACATTGACATTGTAAGGTAAATGGGTGCAAAATTTCTAGTTAAATGACATTTGTTTTGTTTACCTTAAATGTCATTTCTCTATTTAGAAATATATATAATTTAAGAAATATTGCATTGCATGTTTCATTTAATTACAGTTAGTTCAGGAAGAAATGTCATATATTTCAAATTTTAATTAACACTACAGGGCATGGTAGAAGAATACATGTAGTCGCATCGACAAAGCTGCTGGGGAAAATGAACTGTCAAATCTATTTTGAAATATAAATTTTTGAATGAAAAATTATTCAAAATTGTTAAAAAAAAATGCATATCATAACCTCCTTCGATTGGTGTCGTATAAGAAAAATTATAAAAATCTACTTATTTTTGAAAAAAAAATTGACATATCAATGTTGCCAATCGTTGATGCATGTACCTATATTCTTCTACCATGCTACAGGGCTTAAAATATTTTGAACTAGGTTTAGATTAAACAAAATTAATCATGTTTTAGTTATAGGTAACAATATAAATGAAATTAAGGAAAATATTGCAAATATCCTAATCTCACTTATGTGAACATAGCTTTTCTTTAACATGGATGTACAATGTTCATACGACATACGGTTTATGAAAAAAACTCAAGTCATCATTTTTATCAAGGTTAAAATGAGAAGGAAAAGTAATTTCAAATAACATTATCCATTTCTGCATTTTCTTAATTTACTTTGACTAATTTCTCTAAATAAGAAAGAGGTTCCCATCTCTGATTTCTGTGCATATAATGGATTTTCAAATATAATTTTGACAATGAGATATTGTCAAATGAATAATTTTGAAAAAAAAAATATAAATATATAATTACATGACTTTACCTTCTTAATTCTACCATGGCTATAATTAATGACCACAATATAAATGTAATAAACGAAAACATTACAAATATCTCAATCTCACTGATGGGAACATAGCATTACTTTAACATGGATGTTGTAATACAATGTTCATACGACAGTGGTTTATTAAAAACACTCAAGTCATCATTTTTATAAATTACAATGTAATACAATGTTCATACGACTGTGGTTTATGAAAAAAAAACTCAAGTCATCATTTTGATAAATTAGAGCAAGCGTTCCTAGCCAGAACATGGTAAAAGAATACAGTTAGTCGCATCGACACAATTGCTGGAACAATGAACTGTCATACCAATTTTGGAATTGAAAATGTTAAGTGAAATATTATTCAAAGTATAGGAAAATATATTGAAATTTACTTATCTTTGAAAAACAATTTAAAACTTTTGACATATCAGAGTTCCCAAGCGTTGATGTATCTAACTGTATTCTTCTAGCATGCATTGATTTTATAATACAATGGTCATACGACAGTGTTTACGAAAAATAAAAACAAAATGGAAAATTTTCCAAAAAGTAAACGAACAAGAGCTTGTAAAAAATTCTAATGTAACAGCTGATTGATACAAATAATAACAAAACAATAAACGAACTTGTTTGTTTTAAAAACACTTTATAATAGAACAGCTGATGATACCGGATCATTCAGTCAAACCAATTTTGAAATCGAGAATTTTGAATGAAAAATTATTTAAAATTGTTAAAAAATACATATCACAACAACCTGGTAATGCCATCGTATAAGACTACATATAAAAACTTATTTTTGAAGAAAGTTTTTAAAATGGTTTACCTATAAATTTTCTCAAGCGTAGATAAAGGGTGAGATAAAAAATAGCAACAAAATCAAATGCCTTAATTTTTACATTTTTTTTATTGATTGAAAGCAAAAAATTTAAGAAATGTCATCAAATTTTTAGATTGGTCACCTTTGACACGAATTATGGCCTTCAAACGGCCAAAGAAACCGTCACACGTTGCCCAAATGTTGCTCTGCGGTATTTTGGTCCATTCCCGGTGAAGCGCTTGCTTGAGGTGATCGACATTTTGGTATTTTTTAGTGCCAACCATGCTTTCCAAAATACTCCAGACACAATAGTCCAACGGATTGGTATCCGGAGATTTTGGTAGCCATTATGCCTCATATAACTTCACACCACAGCCTAAAACTATGCTTTAAAAATATGGGAATAAAAGATCTTAAAAAATTTATTTTTAGTATTTTTGATGCAAATAAATACGTTAAGTATTTATTTCTTTTACTACATTTTAAGAATAGTCCATTAAAATGACCTAATTCTGCACATTTCCAATTACCTGCTATTGCAGATTTACCCTATTGTAATGTTCTTGTTCTTTGTCGATGTTAGTAATTTATTTTTATCTTCTTGGGTAGTAATTTTATAGTGGAACGTATTTTTTTATGGTTTGATTTAGATTGTGTGGTCTTGATTTAATTACTTTTTGTTGTTCATCATTTTCATCAAATACAAAAGTTTGTTAGAAGTTTAGGGGGGAATAAAGCGCTTATTTGGCTGGTTTAAGTCATCGGCTGGCTTCTTCGAAAATGAACAAAGGAGCCTAGGGCCGAAATCGAACTAAGTTAACCTAAAACTCCTTTGTTCCTCTACGAAAAAGCCAGTCGATGACTTAACTCAGCCAAATAAGCGCTTTATGCATTCCCACCTTTATGGCTGTGGAGCCCTTAAAATACGATTTAAATATCCTACTTGGAAATGTTAAATATATTAAATAAATAATCAATATTTAAAAAGTTTTGTTTAATTAAAAGTGATTAATTCTTAATGTTTTTTCTCCCCTTTCCCTTTTACAGAAATGGCGCGTCTTCAAATCGGTTAGTGAACTCTTCATTTTGGTGCCCGCTCTGCTGGGTCTCAAAGGCAATTTGGACATGTGTCTGGCATCTCGCCTCTCAACTCAGGTCAATTTAGGCAATATGACATCGCGCAAGGAAATCATACGTATGATTGTCGGCAACATAGCATTGGTGCAGGTGCAGGCCACTGTTGCATCATTTCTGGTTGCCATGTTTGCGATAGCCGTTGGTGCTGCCATGGATGGGAATTTCGAATTTGAACATGTTATGCTGCTGATAGCATCGGGCATGTTTACGGCAACATCATCGTGTTTTGTATTAGATTTTGTATTAGTGGCTGTGATATTATTATCTCAAAAGTATAAATTGAATCCGGATAATTTGGCAACACCGTTGGCGGCTTCCATTGGTGATGTTGTATCAATTAGTTTGTTATCGTTTATCGCTTCGCTGCTGTTCGATCACATAAGTGAGTGTGCGAGGATTAATCTAAAAAAAGGATTTTAGTTTAATATTAAAAAATCCTGTTTATTTTTAGAAACCCATTTATGGATAACATTTGTGGTGGTCGCTTGCTATCTGATTTTACTGCCAATGTGGGTTACAGTTGTGCTTAAAAACAAATATACTCGCCCCGTGCTCAAGAGTGGTTGGGTACCGGTACTGTCGGCTTTATGTATTAGTGGGTAAGTTCGACGTTTTGTTATAATTTGAAAATAGTTCAATTAATATAGTTTGGGTTAAATAAATGTATACGCCTTAAAGTATGCTTTACTTTTTTGCCAATGATACAGATTATTTATTCATTGTTTTCTCTTTATCTATTACAGTTTGGGAGGCCTTGTTCTGGATGCTGCTGTAGATATATTTAACGGTTTCGTTGTTTTCCAACCCATCATTAATGGCATTGGTGGCAATCTGGTTTCAGTACAGGCTAGTAAAATATCAACAATGTTACATCAAAGTTCAATTATTGGTATTATACCGCCACACACGAAAATATTTGAATGGCCCTGGAAGGCACTTTTCAAAGGAGGTAGGTCCACAAAACAGACATTTTTTCATGGTAGAAAATAATTGGAATCTTTTTTTTTACAGTACCCTATGCCAAGACAGCTCGTTTGTTGATCATGATGTCAATTCCTGGCAATATTGTCTTTATATTTGCCGCTGACTACATTCACATGTCTCAGTCGACTGTCACATTCTACTTTGCCTTTTCATATATACTTGCAAGTTTAATACAGGTAAGGTTTTGAAAATTTGAAAATATTTGGTCTGTTCCAGAACCTGCAAGAATCTTCGATATTCGATATTATAAAGGAAAAATCGGTTATCGTAGTAAAAAATGGCACATTTTGGAACAGACCAATCATGATCCAAGTATAAGGTCCCCCTTCCAGCTCAGTTGATTACCAGACAATCTGACAATTAAATTTTAATTCGCTGCAACTAAAAGGAAACATCAAAACCATGGTAGAAGAATACAGGTAGTCGCATCGCAGCTATTGGGGCAATGAAGTGTCAAACCAATTTTTAAATTAAAAATTTTAAATGAAAAATTATTAAAATTTCTAAAAATTGTTGAAAAATTCATATCATAACAACCTCCGATTGGTGTCGCATAAGAAAACTTATAAAAATGTACTTTTTTGAAAAAAACATTTTGAAAAATTTTACATTTCAATGTTACCAAGCGTTGACGCATCCACCTGTATTATTCTACCATGCAGCAAAGCAAAATTGACCACAAACATATTCGCCACAAAATCCTTCTGTCAAGGCGAAAATATTTATTTTCGACTCAAGCATGAATTTTGACATTTCATCTGATAAAATAATAGCTGTTTGTAGATTAATTTTTTAATTAATAATTTAATTAAAATGGGGCCATGAGACCAATAAACTATTTCATACTAATCGTGGCTTTCATTTCAGGTTATGCTCTTGATGTACATTGCCCACATTATTGTACATGCCATGTGGAAATGGAAAATCGATCCCGACAATTCATCCATTCCCTATCTTACTGCTTTGGGTGATTTGCTGGGCTCAAGTTTGTTGGCCCTAGCATTCTTGTTCTTGCTTTCAATCAACAAGGAATATGGAGCTGGTTATGATGTACTGAATGCCTCAAATTAATCAAAACAGCAATGTTTACGCCTCCACACCCTCACAGAACCACCACTCGCCTATCCCTCCACCACTAATTAATAATTCTTTCTAAGAATTTTAGCCATAGTGATGCATTATATTCTATATTTATATATATAGTGTGTTCGATATAGAAAATTGAACATAATCCCCCCCGCCCCTCTGTAGTTATGACGGTAACACAACTGAAACGAGTTGTTGCTAGTAAAGAATTTGTAAGAAAAGAAAAACAAAAAAACGATAAGGAAAAAAAGACCAGTGCTTAGACTAGTTCATTCTCCAAAGTACCTTAATGGAAGTAAATTTAAAACAAAAAACAAGAAATTTAGATTATTATGTGTATTTTAATTTATTTTAAAAGTGAAAAATTAAGTAATTATGTATATGTATGTATCAAAGTGAAAACTTAACATAAAGTATAAAACAATGTATCGACTCCCATTCCCCCTCCCCTTATATCCTCGATCTTACCTTAATATCCATTCCTTATTTCCCATCCCCCCAATATATCCCCCTCTCTTAAATAAATATATGTTTATTTAATTTAGGAAATTTAATTTGATAAACCAAATAAAAAGAAAAAAGCAAATTCATAAGAAAAAAAAATACAATAAAAAATTCAAAATTGTTCCATAAAAAATGAAGTTTTATTTGAAGGGAAATGTGGATTTTCCATGTCTTCGTCGAATAGAAATGGACATCCAAACGATTTTTATAAATCCCATTCATTTACGTTCTGTAACTAAAATGGATGAGCCGATTTATCAACGGCAATGCATCTTATTGAGGAGACGTATAACATGGATGTTGTAATACAATGTTCATATGACAGTGGTTTGTGAAAAAACTCAAGTCATCATTTTGATAAGTTAGCAAGCGTTCCTTGCCAGAACATGGTAGACGAATACAGGTAGTCGCATCGACACAGCTGCTTTGACAACGAACTGTCAAATCAACTCTAAAATTGAAAATTTTGAATAAAAATTTATTCAAATTCGTAAAAATCGTTGAAATGCACATCATAACAACCTCCTATTGGCGTCATATAAGAAAACATACAAAAATCTACTTATTTAAAAAAAAAAAACAAATTTTGAAATTGTTGACATATCTGTATTCTTCTACCTTGATTTTTCACTTTTTTTGACTCTCTTAAGTCAACGACTGGCTTTTTCGTAAAAGAACAAAAGAGTGTGGGTTGAACAAGTATTAATGATGGACCGAGGTTAAAGTAAGTTATCAAAATGCATGGCGTTGTGAATTAAACGTATAAAAATTGTTCTGTTTAATTTGCTAAACCTCCAAAAATCTACTAGTTTTGCAATTTTTTCGATATCATAAAGAGAAAATCGGTTATCGTAGTACAAATATTTAAATTTTTTCAATATTTCTTCTTGTAACTGATAACAGTGTTGTATTTTCAAATTTCATTCAGCCCAAGGTAGATCTAACAGGTAACCGCATCGGCATATTGCTACAACAAAGCAACATTTGTGGTCCCCTCAAATGTCAAAATTGGCATCTAAGGCGAAAAACATAGATTCGCCATGACATTTAAAGGTTGCGGCAAATTTGTTTCAACCAATCAGAAACGAGGTGTTTGTTTACATTTTATTTTGTGTGCCTCTCGTCGTAAACGAACGTCGCAATAAAAGTTTTTATTGTAAAACAAATAAGAGTAAAATAAGTATTATTTGTAGTATTGCGATATTTTTTAAATCAAGAAACTTATAATGACTATATTTAACTGGTTTAAACCGAAAGTTTTCCGGAACTGCAAATGACAAGAGTCGAATTCTTGCACTACTTCCCGTGATGTGCTTTGGGAATCTTAGATGTTTAGGCTAACTTAATTCTTAAAGCTGCACTCCATTCTAACCTCCTTCCTTCATTTTCTTTTATTTTGGTTTCACTCTAAACTTGCTCTTAAATTATTTGAAATATTATAAAAAGGTACTTTTAGGGAGACAACATAAACAAATTTGTTGTTGCATTCATTTAGGGCGAATTCTTCATTACAACAATTTGTTTTGACATTTAATGGTGCCGTCAGCTGGGCTGATGCGATTACCTAGTACATCTACCTTGATTCAGTCCAAAATGGCCATTTCGTCCGATAAAACTCTGCATCGATATCGCCTTTTAATGTAAACTATCGATTCTGACATCGATTGTTTGCATCAACTACCAAAGAAAAAATTGCTCCGTTTCGTTGTTAAGGCGCCAAAAAATACATTTTGGTTTATTGTTTTAATAGTGATCATAAACATATCCAAAAATTGTAGGTTTTGGAATGCAACGATTGAGTACATGTACATACTAGATCTAAAAATCAACAATGGCAAAGACTTTGATTTCAGTTGGCAACACCATAGTCCTCCAATCAATATGGAGAGAAGCATTTTAAACAAACGATAGTAGCAACTAGTTCCGCGCTCTTTAATGGAGATGTTCAATTTTCCTCACGTCTCATTCGTAAACAACAGAGTACCCCGAGTCTTGGCTTTCTGTTTACTTCTTCGTTATTATTCCTTTGTGGCCTTTATATTCGTTTCGTTGGAACGTTTTTCATTTTTGTTTTCCACGCTCGCAACGAACAACCAACCAAACAAACGAAAGCGCGCGTTTGAAGCAGAGACGACAATCAACCAAGGAAGTATAAAATCAATAAAACAAACAAGCAATTGGATAAGAATTGGATTGGACACATTTGTTGTACAGGATTATTTAAAAAGTTAATTCAATTTTAAATCTAATCTTATAATTATTAAAATGCAGAGACCAAGACGTACTTCTGAATTTCATGAAGAACCTGGTGGAATAAGGCGCCAGTCAAGGTAAACTATCACAATTTCTTTGATAATATAAAATAATGATTGAATATGTTCTTTAGGGCCCAACAAAAAAGCGTAGCCCCATCACCATCTACAGCTTCCAAATTCACAACAAGGTGAGAATGATGTTTTTTAATTTCCAGCAAAAATAACTTCATTGATAATTCATACCTTCCATTAGGCAAAGTCGCATTGCTGTGCCCACACGATCCGGCTCAACTGATCGCGCAACAACAAGCTCCAATGCATTTCTTACAGTTCCCGGTAGCGTTACGGGTCGTCAGTCGACCACACCCATGTCGAATGCTAAAATCACCAGTAATCGTGTTCTCTTCACTGCCGAAAAACATCGTGGTGGTAATGCAACTGCATCCAATGGTGGCGCCTTGCATAACGACAAGAAATGGGTACAGGAACAGACACAACGCATCACTGAATATCTACTAAATCAGAATACAATTGGTGGCATGAGTACCGATTTCCTGCAGAAGGGTTTGCGCCAAATGTCCATTAAACAGTTTGTGGCAATTGTCAACTTTTTCCTCAATCACATTTGGGGGAAACGTTATGTGGTTGGCAGCAATCATGTCGAGGATATCATACAAATATTACAGAAGTTACAATATCCTCATCCCGTAAATAAATCATGGCTGAAGACGCCCAATACCCAGCATTCGTTTGGCAATGTCGTTGTGTTGTTGGATTTTCTAATGGATTTTGTACCACCCTATGTGGATGAAGATGTTGTGCCACAGGTTGTGGATTTCTTTGAATTGCAGGAGCCGCATGAAATCATGAATGGTTCCCGATTGGCGGAGGACATATTTCAAAGTCCCGACTTGGAATTTCAACGTGAATTGTTAATGAACACTGAGGAGGGATTTACTCTCTGGGATACCCAAATGAATGATGAGTTTAATAGCTTACAACAGGAAACATGTAATCTTCTCATAAAAAAGACTTGTAATTTTCCGGATGCAGCTGCAATTCACGTAGAAATTGAAAAACTGAGTGCCCAATTGAAATGCTTAGAGGATGCAAAACCCAAAGAAGATAAAGAATTAGTGCGATTGGAAGCCAAATTAACAGATGAATTTGATTTCTTAAGTAACGATATGGAGCGGCTGAAAGAGGAATATCATAATAAAAAACGCACTCAACAACAATTGACCCGGGAGAAGGCAGATGTACTAAATGAAGTGGAGAATATGGAAACAGAAATTGAAAATTTACAGAAGGTAATCAACAAGCAAGTCTGTACGGTGGAGCAAAGAAATCAGTTAATGACCGATCAAAAACATTTGGAACATTTACTGAGCATAGAAGAGCGTACCTTGCGTGAACTGGAGTCACGCAACCACAATCAACAGGTGCTCTATGCAAGGGTGTTAAAACAGTTTACCGATGGTGTGGATTCCTTTAATGCATTTATGAGGGAAATTGCTTTCTCGGATATACCAGAGATGAAGAAAATCTCTTCCGAGGAACTTCAACTGCCTTTGCGTCCCGATGAAGAACAACTTCAGCAACGTATTCCAAACTTGCTGCACATCAAGGAAGCCACACTGAAAGCAATACAGGAAAAGAAAAAACAGGCCACAGAAACGCAACTACGTGCCAAAGATATTATCGATGAAGTTGATACACAATTGGAAACAAAACTTAACGCCTTGCGTCACCGTGTAGCCCAGGAAACGGATAAATTTGAAAAATTATGTCAAAAAATGAAAGAACATGCTGCCAAACTTAATATGCAAGCCCAGGATTTGCAAAACCAAATATTAAGCGCTGACAAAAATATTGAACAGCTACAAAGTGCCATCGAACAAAAACGCATGGAAATTGAAATGATGAAGGCCAAGAATGAGGAGACCATGAAAGATGCCGAGGAACGACATGCAAAGTATATAGAACAGAGAAGGGCTTTCATAACAGCTTACGATGAAATGTTTGAGCAATCAGTTAGCGGTGATGTTTTGAAGAAATTGGCCGAACAAGTTGAAGAGCGAGAGAAAGAGTTGGAGATATTGCGAAAGGAATTTCAAACAGAAGTGGTTCCAATCGATCAACAGGATTGAAGGAAATGTGTTTTTGCTTGCCACTTTTATAAGAATTAATGTGTAATTTGTTGCTTTCTTGTAAATAATAAGTATAAGTTTGTGGTTTATAATCTTATTTAAAATAAAACTTGTTTTTAGTATATTTTAATAGTTTTTTTTTTATATATTGGACATGGTTCACGTCACTCAACTTCAAGGAAACTAGGATAATGCGACGCTGTACTACTGTACTTCGCTACTCCTTTCGCTTTTGTATGCAATCGAAATCGTCCAAAAATCTTTTGTGTCTCGTACCATCGCTTGATATCGTGACACTGGTAGCGTAGAACGATGTCAAGGAAGTGCACGGAAAAAACAGCAACAACAGCAGAAATGGTTCAAAAAGTAAAGAAGCGACTTGATCGAAAAGGGAAAAATGACTACTGAACATATCCTGAGCTAGGGGTAAAAAGCCATTGAAATCTCAAAAAGTGCAAAAACTTACACCGCAATAGAAAGAAAATAGCCTCAAAAGAGTTAAAGTGCTGCTTCGCTTGGCTGAAAGTGGTGAACTGTCGAATTTGGTGTTTTCCGATGAGAAAACATTTGTTGTCCAGCAGTTTGTGAACAAAATGATAGTGTTTACTTGCCAAAGAGGTCAGCTGAAAATGTGCACTTTCGGTTGGCCACCAGAACTCAAGCGCCGGCCATGGTGATGGGTCGCCATAACAGACGATTGTCGCTCTCCGCTCGTATTAATCGACCGTGGCATCAGAATAAATGCAGAATATTTTCGCAAAAATATTCTGAAGGGTGTATTAAAGCCTTGGGCACTCAAACATTTTGGCCGCAGACCTTGGACATTCCAACAGCACCATCGCACTCAGCACGCGCCACCCAAGAATGGTTACAAAATGAGGATCTTCGCTTCATTTCCAGCGCACAATGGTCACAAAATCTCCGGATACCAATCCGTTGGACTATTGGGTCTGGAGTATTTTGGAAAGCTAGGTTGGCACTAAAAAATACCAAAGTGTCGATCACCTAGGCCAAAATACCCCAGAGCAACATTTGGGCAGCATGTGACGGTTTCATTGGCTGTTTGAAGGCCATAATTCGTGCCAAAGGTGACCAATTCGAACAAATCTAAAATTATTCCAAAATTTGATGCTATTTCCGACATTTTTTGCTTTTATTAAATAAAATTTAAAAACTTTGTTGCAATTTTTTTATCTCACCCTGTACATATTCAAGTGCGGTTTTGACATCCATTTAAGATATGCCTACAAGCCGCTTATGTACCCACACCTTTATGTCTTGAATCAAGAAATATGTTGGATATGTGCACTAGCTAGCCGACCCGACACACTGAACTTTTTAATTAAATAAATAAGCATTGTGGCGACATCCTATGGAAGTAGCAACATTTCTAGACTTTTAAATTGAACTCGGCCTAATTTGATTTTAAAAAAGACCCAATGACCTAAAAATGTGATTTTTTTTAATTAGCATAAAATCACTGCATTGACAACATTCTTTATAACGGAACATTGTTCATTCGTTTTGGTGCAACAGTGATGGCACATTCAGGCAAAGTTATAATGTGGGAGTGTTTAGAATGAAAACAAAAGTAAGTACGTCAGAAAGTCAATAAATTATTCAAAAAAAATATTAAAAAAACATCAACAATATTAATTCCAATAAAAAATATCGCATAATTTTTTAAAATATATTTAAGTTGAATGAAGAATTCAAGTGCATCAAGAAAAATGAAAAAGAAATGTGCGAAAAGTACCACAATTTTGTGCCATCACTGCGTTGTTATTGTAGCCACCTTTTTGCAACAACGATTTCATGATGCCGCGAACTTTGCTCGTCGTCGTTATTCAGTGTTAGGTTTTTGTAATTTAAAGACATATCCCTCTCTACTCTTAACATAATTTTTAACTAATTTTAATTGTAAGTGAAAAGAAAATTGGCAATCAATAAAGAAAAAGAAAAACAATAAAACAATGATTGTGATAGATACATCTTTGAGTTTTGTTCCCTATTTCCGATTTGATAAACATAAAAAAGAAAACAAATTTAATCAATCTCTCATGGAGCATAACTTCAATAACGGATATTTTTTATTACTTTTTTCTTTTGTGTCTCTTTCTGATGCCCAATGCAGTTGTGAAATTAAAGTGAGAAAGAAAATTAGACCTTGAAATGTGAAGCAATAAAGGGCCATCTTATTTTCAACAAAAGAGGATTTAAGCTTGTATTATTTTTTCTTTGAAATATGTATCGCCTTGGAGTTCCACGTACAGTTGTGTTTGTGGAATTTTTGTTGGAAATGGAATGGACAGGGATTATACTGGCGAGTTAACTATTTTTGTTTTATATTTCAGATTCCAATTTGTATGTTTAGCCCCAAATAAATTGTTGTACGTCGTACATTCGTTTTGATCGGATTAGAAAAATAAAAAAACAACCGCAGCCACCATCATCAGTCAGTGCACCCTTTTATAACACATACAGAATGCAACAACGCCAGTTTACATCGGGCAGCCGTCAGGCTCCAGATCCATATGATCAATTTCTGGAAGAACATCAATTTTATCGCAAGCATACGGCACGGGATGCCTCCTGCTTGTTTCGCGTCATTTCGGAACAGATGTATGATACCCAACTGCATCATTTGGCCATACGTGAAAAATGTGTCAACTACATGCGTAAACATCGGAAATTCTTTCAAAATCTTGTCGATCGAGATTTTGATGAATATCTCGATGATATGTCGAAGCCAAAAACGTATGGAACATTGTTGGAGCTGCAGGCAGCTGGTTATCTTTTTGAGTAAGTAGTGCCTACTATAAATCAAACATATTGATATTGTAACTTATTAGATTATCAAAGTAATTCTTATAGGAATGACATTAAAGAGCAGGGCCTTCCGATCATACAAAAAAATTAAAAACTCGAAACAGGGGTTCCACAGTTTCCCAAGCAGGTAGTTTCTTAGGCATAAGTTGAGTTTAGGGGCTATGCTTGGATTGACCTGAAATTTTTACCGCAGGTAGGTATTTGTAACCTGATTACGGCAATATAATTTTTTTGTGGGGGAAATACCCGGTTACCCGGTTATTCGACCCAAAAGTTCGGATACAACATCCGGTTTATATCCGGTTCTACGTAACCGATATCAATAATATGGGTATCATTTGAAAGCTTATGAAAATACCTATCCAAAAAGTGGTCATATGACGGGGTAACTGGAACCTGTTTCGGAGAAATTTAGGAAAATGTGCATTTTTGTATGAGTAATTTTTGAAAAACCCATAAAAACTCGAAAATGGACCCATTATAGGGTCTTAAAATCTATACACAATATTATAGCTAACACTATTGCCTTTCCAAAATGGTGTCATATGTGTTGATATCTTTTGTAGTTCCGAAGATATTGACTTTTAAAGTCGTTACTTATGAAAGCAGTTTGAGTGAACCCAAGTTTTGTGTCGGGTTTAACGTTCTTGTTAATCTGCTTTGTTTTTAATTTGGTGTTGTTAGAATATTATGGATCGCGTAGTCGGTGTTGGACATATCCCAGAGGAGAAAATCTTAAGCCCCGGCCGAAGGCCTGCTACTTACAAAAATTACAATTTTTAGAAAAACTATGGATCGCGTAGCCGGTGTTGGACATACCCCAGAGGAGAAAATCTTAAGCCCCGGCCGAAGGCCGGCTACTTTCGAAAACTACAGTTTTTAGGAAACTATTGATCGCGTAGCCGGTGTTGGACATACCCCAGAGGAGAAAATCTTAAGCCCCGGCCGAAGGCCGGCTACTTACAAAAACTACAATTTTTAGAAAAACTATGGATCGCGTAGCCGGTGTTGGACATACCCTAGAGGAGAAAATCTTAAGCCCCGGCCGAAGGCCGGCTACTTACAAAAACTACAATTTTTAGAAAAACTATGGATCGCGTAGCCGGTGTTGGACATACCCTAGAGGAGAAAATCTTAAGCCCCGGCCGAAGGCCGGCTTCTTACAAAATGTACAATTTTTAGAAAAACTATGGATCGCGTAGCCGGTGTTGGACACACCCCAGAGGAGAAAATCTTAAGCCCCGGCCGAAGGCCGGTTGCTTAAAAAAGCTATAAAGGTCAAAGTCAAATGCATCTAGACTGGAGAAAAATATAATTTAATGAATTCTATCTCTTATATCCACGGAACCACAAAAGATATCAACACATATGACACCATTTTGGAAAGGCAATAGTGTTAGCTATAATATAGTGTATAGATTTTAAGACCCTATAATGGGTCCATTTTCGAGTTTTTATAGGTTTTTCAAAAAGTACTCATACAAAAATGCAAATTTTCCTAAATTTCTCCGAAACCGGTTCCAGCAACCCCGTCATATGACCGCTTGTTGGATAGGTATTTTCATAAGCTTTCAAATGATACCCATTTTATTGATATCGGTTACGTAGAACCGGATACAAACCGGATGTTGTATTCGAACTTTTGGGTCGAATAACCAACCGGGTAACCGGGTATTTCCCCCACAAAAAAATTACATTGCCGTAATCAGGTTACAAATACCTACCTGCGGTAAAAATTTCAAAATGATCCGAGCATAGCCCCTAAACTCAACTTGCTCCATGGTTTTAGATCCTAGTTCTCTTTGAACCCAATTCGATTCTGAACATTTGGAGTCGATCTAGCGATGTATGTGCGCACGATAACTCTCGAAGGGAGTATCCGATTTCATCCAAATTTGGTACATCGTAATATTATTGTCAAATTTAGATCGATTTCGGAAATGGTCAATATCGGTTCAATATTTCCGGCACATCCACTACAGTAGGTCGAAATTTTCAACTTTGCAAATCCCAATATTTGCCTCAGTTCTAGGTAAGGTGCGAAAATGGACAGTATTGGTCAACTCCAACAACTGGTCAAAATATTGAATAATTATATTTGGTATAAAATGAGATAGTAAGTCCGATCGATTGTCTTCAAATTACACTCATAACGATATTTTTATTAACCCAAAGTCTGGTGTGAAAATGTCATACATCGGTCCACTTCTGGTAACTCCCCCACAAAGGGTCAACATTTTAAATATCCATGGAGCCCATAAAACGCATACCATTTCATTCAGACTTGGTACATCTTAATATTTTTTATCAACACAATATCTGTTATAAAGATGGTAGAGATCGGACCATTTCTTCTGGTACCTCCCTTTTTTAAATAACCAAAACTATCATAAAATCCGAAATAAGCATCCCAGTTCTCTTCATATATCACACATCCCAATATTTCTACTAGCACAAAATCTGCTGTGAAGATATGATATATCGGTCCGTCGGTCCTTTATCGGACTCATAAAGGGTCAAAATTTTGAATATTCATGAAGTTCATAAAGTGCGAAATTAACATTCGATTCCATACAAACTTGGTACATCTCAATATTTACACCAACACAAGGTCTGTTAAAGATGGTACAGATCGGACCATTTCTTATGGTACTTCCGTCACATAGGTTTCAAAATTTTGGAAAACAAAACGCTCAAAGAAATCGTTATCCCCTTCTGGTGCCTCACCCACAAAGGATCACAATTTTTAATACTTTTACCTAAAATATCTAAACAGAAATCTGGGATGATTACGGAATTTATGATTTCGCATAAAATTGGATATAAATGTTCGATTTTCTTCTAATTTTGCCCATTCCAATATTTTAATCTGTATTATATGAAGTATGAAGATGGAATGCTTCGGTCGACTATATCTGGTACCACACACAGATTCTACCATTTTCTAATTGTCTCATATCTCATATAAAGTGAAGGAAGTAACCATTTTAGTCCACACCTGGCTATCACAATATTTATATCATATATATGTAGGTCCGACAATATTGGCCCAATGGACAAATTTGGTCCATTCCTTCGGAACCTACTACATAGAGGGTCAACAATTTGAATAATCGTAACAGAAGTCAAAATATATTTATATAATCGAACATTGTCTGAGGGTATACATCTGTCGGCGATTTAGAAGATATTAACCAACAGACCGCCATCTATGCCGTCTTCGAGACGACTAAGGATCAAGAAATGTAGAAAAGATTTTTTAGGGAAAAGGCATGATGTCCTTTAAAAGGCTAAGGATAATGCCTTGTTGACAATTTTTACTATGGAAACAACAGATATTTACTAATGGAGTTTTAAGAATCCAAAAATGGGACGAAATACGATAATGGAATTTTCTGAAATTTATTTAGGATATTATTTAATGATCCATTAATTTTAATATCTCCTTGTTTTCGATATTACAGACGAAATGTTATTTTATTTGAGCCCTTCGATTTGGGCAAATATTTCAACGAACACCGATCATATTTTAAAGAAGTATTTCGTGTTTTTTATACGCCCGAGAGACATTTTGATTCTGTATTCACATCGGAATACATTCAAGAAGCGGCGATCTGTCAATGTAAGTAATTGTTATATCTTTTAATAAAGTCACAAATAATTACTAAATTTTTCATTATGCCTCACTTAGCAATCGTTTATGAGATCCTTTATAAAGACTTATTCAAATTGCCCGATGTTGCGTTTGCCGTTGAACAAATGTTGCATGGACCCAACTTTGAAAATATGGAATATACAACAAATACCAACGAAGATGGCTATGCCACGCGTCTCTATCTAAGTGATGGACGTGAATTTGAGCTGGATTTGCCGCATAATACAGATTGTATTTTGGAAAATTATAAATTGTGTCATTTTCATTACACAAATTTTCCACGATTTTCGGATGATTTACAGCGTGAGTTGAAGGGTGCCCATCACGAGGACAATGAGAAAAATACCCTGTTAATACAACGTACTGCCGAATCGTTTTTGCCCAATAAATACATGTCTTGTGTGCGACAATTGTTGCAGGAGAGTAAGTTGCCTCGACCATTTTTGTTTGGGAATTTGAAAATAATTTTGAAATTATCTCCTTTACAGATATTACACCATTTCCCTATAAAGTGGCTAAGGCATTGGACCCGAATATGTATCGTAATATTGAGTTCGATTCGTGGAATGAAATGCGCAAAGAAATGAAATTACAAAACTGGTATAACGGAGATTCCAATTTTAAGGTATTTAGGATTTGATTAATATATTTTAAATGTTATTAATGTATTTTGTATCAAGCATTTAGTGTTGTGTTTATTCGACCATTTGTCTATGTATATTTTTGTAGGCCTTGGTATATTTTAACCATGTTTATATGTTTATACCCTACACTACATAGTGGTAAGGGTATTTTGTCTTTGTGCATTTGTTTGTAACATGGAAAAGGAAGCGAGATAGACCCATAGTTACTTCTGAGGAACTTTATGTATTCTTGCGAACAAAATGCAGGTTGCATTTATTATCCGATTGAACTGAAATTTTCCAAACAATACTTGTTTGGCCCAAGGACGAACCCTTATAAAATTGGTGATAATCGGATCAGATTTTAATATATCTCCCATATATCTTCAACCGATTTCAGTTTAATTGTGCACCATAAGACCAATATCTGTCGAAATGGCCTGAGTTTTGGTACATCCAACCGAATTAAGTCTAGAAGCAAGTACATCAAATTTGGAGAAAATCGGTTAAGATATAGCTATAGCTCCCATATATATGTTTTATTCGATTTGGAATTTTAAGTCACTCACATGCGTAATATGCACTTCAAAACAATGACATTTTATACCGGGCAAATTTTATCGAGATCGGCTAAGATTTGGATATACCTCCCATATATATCTTCAACCGAGCCGAGTGAATTTCGGCACGTACGTTTCCATTTGATGTAACTCGCCTCCGATATATATTTTTATACCCACCACCATAGTATGGAGGATATTCATCATCATAAAATTCTATGACGATTTAGCGATGTGCGTCCGTCTGTGGAAATCACTCTAGCTTCCGAACGAAATCAAATAGGTTGATAAAATTTTTCTCAAATGTATATTATGTCTGCAGGACTTTGTACATTAAAAATGGGCCATATAGGTCCACGTTTTGTTATAGCTCCCATATAATGGTACCTCCCCATTTTCGGAATTTTGGTGATTTTAGCGACATAATTCACCTGAAATTTTTCAAATTTGGTATTTGAATTTCGTAATGGATACTAAAACCTATGACAGAAAATTGTCCGTGCAGGTCCACGCCTTTGTATAGCGTATATATAAGGGTACCTCCCGATATTTGGTCTTTGGACAATTTTAGCTATATTATTCACCGATTTTTTTTTAAGTTTCGCATTCGAATATTGTAATGGCTTATGACAAAAGTTGTCTAGGTCCGCGTCGTCGCAAAGACCCTAATATAACACCTACTTTTATTTATTGGAACTTTCCTTTACATGTCAATTTTGCTTGTCTCTTGTCTATTTAATTTGTTTGTTTGTGTGTGTTTCCGTGTGTCTTTCTACTAACCAGTTAATACATTACCACACCAAACGAGTTCGCAAAATATTCCAGGTTGGAGCTAAATGTCATGTTAAGCTACGTAAATCTGAACAAGATCTCTATACGTGCCACATTCAAGAAATTGCCGTGGACAAGGGACAGTGTATTGTATTCGTTGAGCAATTGGGTGAGAAACGATTGGTACCCTATGAAAACCTCACGCCATTGCCACCGGATCAATTTAAACCATGGACCGTACCGTATCGTTTCCAAAGACAAATGCAAAAGTTTAGTTCTGTCCGTTTTACACGACAATACAATTATCGTTTTAAATTCAATTCTACCACCGAACATCATCATCATCAATTCCATCAACAGTTCTGTGGTGGTTCTGGTGGTGGCGGCGGTGTCATGGATAATGACAGTTGTTCGAACAGTGATTACATCAATGAGAGCGATCCCAAACGCAGTCTTCACCATCACCACAATCATCATCTTCATCACAATCAGTGTACAGCAGCCGCTGCGGCAGCATCCTATTACAAATTGAAACAGTACACACATTTGGAGAATTTCCGAACACAAACGGTGGAGTTTTGCACTATGCCGCTGACGGTGGAACACAATAGTGCAGCAGCAGGCACAAGGGATGGAGAAACCGATGTCAAGGGAACAAATAGTAATGGCCAACAGCAGCGTGGTGATTTAAATGACAACTCTAGAGCTACCTCAAGATCAAACAGCAATGCAGGTGGTGGTTCTCAAAATGGTCTCTCTGATGGTGGTAATGTAGCCAAGCTCGGTGGAGAATCCTCAAGTGGGGTTTTTGTTTCAACCAACGAGGAGCACATGATGCCGGGTGTTGCTTATGCCCTGCAGCACGGTGAAGGTATTTATGAGTTTGAAAATTATAATCCCAACGGGGCTCCAACAGCTGTATATGTTCCAGAACTGCAAGCATACTATCCCATGTATCCCTATCCAGCAACAGCAGCAGGGGGTTTACTGCCCGAGGAATATTATGGCTATTGTGCCTATGATGCCGGCATGGCTCCAGCACCAACTTTTATGTCGGCCGTAAATGGTTGTTATTATGTATGTAGTAATGGTCCGCCACCACCAGCACCGGTGGGAACTTTTATGGCTTCATCTGGTGGTCCGAATCAATTTTTGGCAGCTGCTCCCCAGGCCATTGGTATACCAGCTGCTCCACAAAATCTTGCCATGTATGCTCAGGCACCGCCGCCACCATATGCTGCTGCCACCAATCAATGTCCATCTATTCAGGTTACAAATAGCGGAACCGCAGCAGCAAATATTGGCAACAGTTCCACCCAACCCTCATATACACCATCACCACGATTATCACGCAACGGAAACAGTAATCTCTCAACTACTCCGCTAAGTGGTCGCATAAATTATGATGCTCGGAAATCATACAAGGCCAGTGGTGTAGATTTGCCCACCGATACCGCAACATTGAGATTTTTCTATAATCTTGGCCTGGATTACTATCATCAAAAGCAGGCTAAATCCAATGAGTCCAACAATGAACGTAAGTAAATTTAGAAGTTTAATGCAAAGTATTAAGTATTGAAAAGTTTTCTCCTGTTGTAGAACCCAAAACCACGGAGTTGGGAAGTAATGAAGATGTTGACAACTTGACGTCTGAATTTCAAAATATACGACTGGATGAGAATGCCAATCAGGTACCTACACCAAATACTGTAAAATCCGATGCCAATAACAATACCTTAATGCCAGAGATGGGGGGAAATGGACCTGCTGCTAACAACAATGTCGTCAATGATAAGCAACAGCAACAGTCTGTTGTATCACAACAACATAACAACAATAGCAACAGCAACAAAAACTCAAATGCCACAACATTAGGCAGTAATAATTCAATGTCGACAAATACTGGCGTAAATAAGACCAATCATCGTCGTTATTCCTCCAGATATTTCAACAACAAAGATCGCCCAATGCAGCAACAACAGCAGCATCATCAACATCAACAACAACAGCAGCAGCAACATTACCATCATCAGCAACACTCGTCGGCACGTAATCACATGAATTCTTCGAATATGGGAAATGGCGGCTCATCGTATTCCAATCATTCACAACATTCGAATCAAACATCTCGTAATAATGTTGTCAATCATAAAAATACTGGTGGTGGGGGAGGCTATTTAACATCGACAACACCAAACTCCTCACGTGGTGGTAGTGGTCAAAATCACCAAGGCGGAGGAGGGGGATTATTGCAACATCCACAATCTGCCCATCTTCAGCCGCCATCGCATGTGGCTATGTCCGAGCATTCGGTTCAAACTTCTCCCATGTGTGGCTATGATGATGGGTTTATGGTCAACGATTCGCGTAACTGCAATGTAAGTGTTTGATTTAATTATTGTTTATGATTCATAGATGTGACTAAATCCTAGAATCTTGGCAAATTTTAAGATTAGGTTGTAGGCAACAGTTATTTGCAAATATAACGATCTAAAATTGAAAAATTGTTGGGGATATTGAAGGTGGCGGCTGAAACGGTCCAATGCAAAAGTTTTACAAAATTTTTAATTTTATAAAATTTTATGTATTTATTAGTTTAGTCACGGTGCAGAATCCATCAGGAATACGTCCATATACAAGATGACTTCTGACTTCTCCCACGGTGCAGAATCTAGCAGGAATAGGTCCATATGGAACATGACGCCTGAGAGGCCTACATTAGGGTTTTCAGAAAATACTATGAATGTAGGATTTTAATAATAATTTTTATACCCTCCACCATAGTATGGAGGGTGTGTTAAGTTTGTCATACCGTTTGTAACACCTCGAAATATACATTTTAGACCCCACAATGTATATATGTTCTTGATCAGCATAAAGTTCTATGTCGATTTAACGTCTGAACGAATTGAAGTAGGTTGATAAAATTTTACTTAAATGTGTGTTTCGTCTGCAGGACTTTTGGTATTGAAAATAGGCTATATAGGTTCACATTTAGTTATAGTCCCCAAATAACTGTACCTCCCATTTTAATGATTTTTGCGACATTCTGTGACAGGGCTTCGTATAACCTCCATATAACGGCACCTCCCGATATTCGGTATTTTGATGATTTTAGCGACATTATTCACCGGAATTGTTTCAAATTTGGTATTTGAAGTTCGTAATGAATACTACAGCCTTAGACAGAAAATTATCTGTGCAGGTCCAGGTCTTTGTATGACCCCCATATATCGGTACCTCCTTATATTCGATATTTTGATGATTTTAGCGACATTGTTCACGGGAATTGTTTCAAATTCGGTATTTGAAGTTTGTAATGGATACTACAGTCTATGACAGAAAATAGTCTGTGCAGGTCCACGTGTTCGTATAGCCCCCATATAACGGCACCTCCCGATATTCGGTATTTTGATAATTTTAGCGACATTATTCACCGGAATTGTTTAAAATTTGGTGTTTGAAGTTCGTAATGGATACAACAGTCTAAGACAGAAAATTGTCTGTACAGGTCCAGGTCTTCGTATAACTCCCATATAAAGGTACCTCCCGATATTCAGTATTTCGATGATTTCAGCGACATTCACCGGAATTGTTTCAAATTCGGTATTTGAAGTTCGTAATGGATACTACAGTCTTAGACAGAAAATTGTCTGTGCAGGTCCAAGTCTTCGGATTACTCCCATAAAAAGGTACCTCTCGATATTCGATGTTTCGATGATTTTAGCGACATTATTCACCGGAATTGTTTTAAATTTGGTATTTGAAGTTCTTAATGGATACTGCAGCCTTAGACAGAAAATTGTCTATGCAGGTCCCCTTTCTTTGTATAGCCCCCATTTATCGGTATCTCCCGATATTTGGTACTTTGATGATTTTAGCGACATTATTCACCGGAATTGTTTCAAATTTGGTATTTGAAGTTCGTAATGGATACTACAACCTTGGACAGAAAATTGTCTGTGCAGGTCCACGACTTCTTATAGACCTTAATATAACGGCTACATTCGGTATTTTTAAAATTTTAACAGAATTTTTAACAGATTTTATTTTTGTATGTATATGTATTGTTTTGAATATTTTTATTTTGAAAAATTTTTAAAATCTGTTAACATTTTAATTCAAATTTACAGCTTTTGAGGAAAATACATTTTTTCTTTTTTGGATGAAAAAAACTTAGTGATTTTATGAACTCAATATTGTAAAGAATACGTAGCGTTCGATATACTTTCGCGATTTTCTTTTATATAAATATATTGTAAAAAGAATGTCAAATAAATAGAAACAATTGGTTGCATTTGCTATTGGACATTTGTTACAAAACTTTAGCTTTGTTTGGAACTTTTCACATTTAATCAACCTGCTCTACCTTTTAATTGTACCTCAATGTGTATCGTTCAAATTTTACATGTGAGATAAATTTAATATTAAATTAAAAAAAAAAATAATTTTATTTCGGATTCATCCATTGTAAATGCTTGAAGACTAAAAAGCCATAAAAACTGAAAGACTTTTCTGTTAACTCAACTTTTTTTTTTGTACTAGACCCCCACTTCGAATAACTCCAATGTAAACACCATACTTGCTTATGGTCCTTATGGACCTGGAGGTGGCGAACAAATGGCCGAAACTGCTGGTATGTGTAACGGACCCTATGGTGTACCATTGGCTGCAACATCTGGTGGTGTATTTGTACCGATGCAAATGGCTGCAACCGGTCCACCACCGCCCTATGGCATGTATGCATCTCATCCGCCGCCACCAGCACCGCCGGCTTATCATGCCGCTACATCGGGTATTCCACCAAATTACATGAATGGACCATTACATTTGGCACCACAACCACCACCAATGCCACCTGGAGGAGGAACAGCAAATTCCACTACTTCAAGTTCGGACACCACGGAAAACAGCAATGTGCCAGCAGCATCCATGGAAATGATGAATAATAATTTAACACCATTACAGTGTCCAAGTTATCCGCCACCACCACCAATGCCCTATTACTATGCTTCGAATGGAGTGCCGGCGCCACCAGCAAATGGAAATGGTGCTACTATGGGAAATGGCGGTAATGGTGGTGTTCATTTGATAACACAAATGGCTCCGCCGCCTACCCCCACAAATCATGGTATGACCCCAACATTTTCGACACCCCATCCTGCGATGGGTGCTCAGGTATTGCTGCTATGATTTAAAATTGAGATGACATGTAAATCTGAAAGACCATAATTTATTTTTTTAGGGTTACTATTGTTTGCCACCACCGCCAACCCCTCATGCACAGCAGCAACAACAAATGCCTCCCCCACCAACACCACAACAGATGCAACAACCTTCTCCAATGACTAACAATAGCGCTCGATCGGATGTACCCACATCAAATAATGAATAGAGTAAAACCAAAAGCACCATGATGGCGCGGCTGGATCATACATACAACCTCATTTATAACTATCACACCCAAGAGTTTGACTTCTTGACCAATTTACCTCAGTGTCGCATAGAGACACATTCAAATGCATACTTAGTCTATGTATACAATACATATGCCTTAACTTGTCCTTAAAATCACTTTTTTTTATAAAAATGCAACTATTTATATATAAATGTAGAATAATGTATAGCTTGTACATTTCATCATAAGTCAATAACATTTTTATCCTCATTATTACTAATTTGTAAGTTAACATAAAACACTCACTCACCTATCACAACAAAAGTTTCCTTTTTAAACGCACATAACTTACTCACCCTGTTTTGTTTGGCAAAGCCGCAACTATCTATCTACTAAAACTTAGTTCTAGATTTTAATTATGTCCCCATCGGCTAGGGTTTTTTTTTATTGTTAACAATATCAACAACAACCACAGTTTTTAAAGTTGTCAAACTAACAAAGAACAAATTAAGCCCATATATATTATCGAATTCGATTTTAAATATGTTTTAATTTAAGATTGGAAGAAATTTACAAAATTTCAATTTAACGAAACTTTTACATTGTCGTTTAATACATTTTTTGTTATGTATGGAGAAAATCTATTTCCACTTTCGATCACATTCCATTATGCTCGGTTTTTCCAATGTATTATGTAATAACTTTTATGGTTGCCAATTTTGTTAACTATTTTAAAGAAAACTGTTTTAAGTATTTTCCATAACACCTTCGTTAAGATATCTTAGACAAAAAATACTATCGCATTTGAAAGACTTAAAAACACACTTTGCATAGTTTAAAACATTTCCTTAGATATGGCGTAACATTTTCGTTAAAATTGATTTTTGTGATTTCTTCTGAACCGTATTTTGTTTGATTCGATTTAAAACATAACGACTTTAATCATTAACGCATTTTTCTCTATTTATCCATATATAACATCTTTCTATATATATTTTTTCACTATTTATAATAAATCTTTGATTGATTCAAATTTATTTTTTTTTGGTTTTATTAAAATTCTAGCAAGTGCCCGCTACTTGTTTAGCGAAAAGTCCACCATAAAATTTTAGATCCGTTTTAACAATTCGTGTTAGGCCTTTTTATACCCTACACCACATAGTGGTAAGGGTATTATGTCTTTGTGCATTTGTTAGTAACATGGATAAGGAAGCGAGGGTATATACCCATAGTTAATGCCAATCCGTCTGTCCATGTGTTCATGTAAACAAAATGCAGGTCGAATTTATTATCCGATTGAGATGAAATTTTCCAAAAAATATTTGTTTAGCCCAAGGATGAATCCTATTGAAATTGCATCAGATTTAGATATAGCTCCATATATCTGTGGCTTTCTTTTATCTTGATGCAAAAAAAAAAAAAAAAAAAAAAAAAAAAAATAGAAGTATAAAATTTGATGTGGACTTATACACCGAAATATAGATTTTCAATCAAGATTTTTATTTAATATTATTTCTACATTTATTTATTAAGTATAATTCATTAATGGGTTTATTAGGTTGCACGTACTTTTACGAAGTGTAAGATTTAAATTACCTTTTATTTTGAATTCAACCAATACAAGACTAAAGTTAGGACTAAAAAAAACATCAAAACTTAAATACTTTTCTGAAATTTCGACTTTTTTTGTACTAGACCCCCACTTCGAACAACTCCAATGTAAAGAGCATACTTGCCTATGGTCCTTATGGACCTGGAGGTGGTAGTGGTGTCGGCAAACAAATTGTCGAAACTGCTGGTATATGTAACGGTGTACCATTGGCTGCAACATCTGACGGTGTATTTGTGCCGATGCAAATGGCTGCAACCGTCCACCGCCCTATGGTATGTATGCATCTCATCCGCCGCCACCGATATCGGGTTAATTGTGCATCAAATAGCCAATATCAGTCGCAATGATCTGAATTTTTTGCATATCCCCCGAATTTAGTCTAAAAGCAAATACATTAAATTTGGTGCAAATCGGTTCAGATATAGCTATAGCTTTCATATATATATTTTTTATCCGATTTGGTGTTTAAGTCCCTCAGATGCGTAATATGCATTCGACAACAATGATATTTGGTCCCAGATATCCTTACAGCTTAGAAATAAGTGCCTACAATTTTTTCAAGATCGGTTCAGATTTGGATATAGCTCACATATACATCTTTATCCGATTTCAGGTTTATTGTGCACCAAATGGCTAATATTTGCCCAAATGGACTGAATGTTGGTACTCAAGGTCCAGAAGCAAGTACATCAAATTTGGTGAAAATCGGTTCAGATATAGCTCCCATATATATGTTTCATCCGATTTGGTGTTTAAGTCCCTCACATGCGTAATATGCACTCCACAACAATGTTATTTGATACGGGACATCAGATACAACTCGAATACCCCTAACAAATTTTATCGTGATTGGTTCGATATACATTTTTATCCAATTTTACGGATATTGTCCACCACGTATGTAATATCAACCCAAATTGGATAGTTTTTTCATATTCAACCGAATTTTACCATTTGGTGAAAGTCGGACCGGTATATCTATTGCTCCAATAAATATTTTTTAATATAATTCTTATCGAAGTCACGTCATGCACTATACAGCAATGTTATTTCGTACTAGGGGTACAAAAGTTTGCAACAAATTTGTTGAAAATCGATTCAGAGTTGGATATAGTTCTAAACTTGTGACTACTCTAAAGCCATGATACGCATTCTAATAAGGTTAATTGTTGGTATGATCTATTTCACACAAATTTTCAATATAAACTGTTTTTTTTTTTACGGGAGCTCTATTAAATCCGCACAGTTGTGTAGGGAACCACATCCAACTTTCCTGTCCAAAACTATTTTAACCTCTTAATATGTAAACCCTTCAGTATCAAGTGTTTAGAATCTCGGCCTTAGCTTTTCACCCAATAAAAAATGCAATAACATTTAGGACGCATATCCAAAACAATGTACATCTCTCCATCCAAGACACCAACTGTGCTCCAAAATTAGTACCATTTAGTGCTTTTCGAAGTACGCATCTGCAACATAGATCTAAATATCAAATTTCTAGTTCTATACATTCCTCAGATACCAGCAGGAATTTAATTATCAAATATCAAAATTTTATTTCTATCCTTTGACCCAATTGTACCAAATATGGTACTTTTTAGTACTTTTGGTGTACTTGTAGTACACATTTTCAAAGCTACCTTTTTATAACAAACCAACAGGGACCATAATACAAAATTTCAAAATGTCCGCTTCATCAGTTCACCTCACCCCAAACCAAACTGTTTCAAATTAATTACAATTCGGTATAGTTCGCAGTCATATTACACACTTACAAAACCACCTTCATATCCCAATTCCAGATACCAACAGAGACCTAAATATCAAATTTGAGGATTCCAGTCCTACCCCTTCATTTAATACCAAATTTAGTACCATTTAGTACTTTTCGAAAAATATAGGACGTATATCCAAAGCACCGCCAAATCACCAACACAGATACTATCAGTAATCTAAGTATCAAATTCCAGGATGTCAGCTCTATTCCTTCATCCAATACTATTAGGACTATTTAGTACTTATCGTACAATTATAGTACATGTTTCCAAAACCACCTCCATATGACTCCAATAAAAAATTTCACCTTTTTCCGTTCACTCTTAACCAAACTGTTCCAAATTTAGTACAGTTTTCCAAAAATTAGTACACATTTTCAAAACCAACTATGATTCGCACACTACATTTCAAGTTTTTAAATCGATCTGTTCGGATGATAACCAAATATGGTACATTTTAGAGGTTTAGTGCCATTATGGAACTTTTCGAAACCTTTAAGTTAGAATTTCCAAAAAACCTTTGGTACACAGTGACTGCATTCCATTGGTGACTCAAATTCTAGCTCATTCCGTTTGTTCAATACAAGCTATTAAATTTTTAGTACATTTTAGTACTTTTCTTACACATTTAGTACGAATTTCCAGTAACCCAGCCGAGATTAAACTTCAGCCATTTCGAGTGGTAGTTGATTCTTATTTAGCTCTATCTGTTTACCCAAAACCAGATTATATCAAATTTAGTAACATTTTGTACAGTTTTTACATTTGTACACCTAAATTTCAAGGTTTTAACTCAATTCGTTCACATAATTTCAAATAGATCTATTAATAACCATGTTGTACTATATGTACATTTAAGTACTTTATATCCCATTATAGGAGGAATTTTGAAAAATGTCGGCTTATAGCTCACCTAAGAGTGAACCCATTAAAATTGTCATAGTTCGAGATTTTATTTATCATTCTATTACAATGCTGTGGCATTTTGTACCTTTTCGTTCTTTTCAAGTACAATTATTCAAAAAATTTGCCTAAAATCTAAATCTATAAAAATCCTATCACTCAAAGACTTCAAAATTGGTTACTCTTAGTACTACTTGTACTTTTTGGTACGAATTTTCAACAATTCTGCGACATTTCACTCCATCACACATCTACCTTTCGATAAATCAAATGTACGAAAGTCGTAATAGAGGCTTTAAATTTTTATCATTTGATACGGGGAAAACGTGCCTCATCGATCATAGGTCTCTTGGACCAAATCCGTTTCAGGACATTTGGAGTCTGGCTGGTGCGCACGATAACTGTCGAAGGTAGTATCCGATTTGGTTCAAACTTGGTACATCGTAATATTTTTGTCAAACTTAGGTCGAGTTTGAAGGTGGGCAATATCGGTCAACTCCTTCTGGTACCTCCACCACAGAAGATCGAAATTTTCAAAAAATATTTTTTCTGCAGCGAAAGAAAAACGATAATCCTATTTTATTCCAACTTTGCAAATCCTAATATATGCGTCAGTGCTAGGTCAGGTGTGAAAATGGACAATATCGGTCCATTCCATCAAGTATGTCCCCCACAAATGGTCAAAATTTTGAATAATTACAACTCTCATAAAATGTGATGTAAGAGTCCGATTGTCTTCAAATTTCACACATCCCAATATTTATATTGACTCAAGATCAGTTGTTGAGATGAAATATATCAGTCCACTCCTTCTGGTACATCCCCCACAAATGGTCGAAACTTTCAAAAAAATTTTTTTTTTGCACAGATATAGAAACGATTATCCGATTTTGATCCAACTTTTCAAATCCTAACATTTGCGACAATTCTAGGTTAGGTGCAAAAATGGATAATATCGGTCCACTCCATCAAGTGCCTCCCCCACAAAGGGCAAACATTTTGAATAATTATTAGTTTTATAAAATGCGATGTAAGAATCCGATTGCCTTAAAATTTCATACATCCCAATATTTTCATAAACTCAAGATTTGGTTATACATCTGTCGGCAAAACGGTGTCGGTCCGTTTTTTACTTGTTTTTAGTCGACGTTCATATATTAACCATTTGGTATTTGATATTTGACCATGAAAAAAACAATAGCAAAACGATTTGGAAATATTGAAGTAATTTCCGACATTTGTCTAATAAGATCCTGGCACTAAAAACCTCAATGCTTCGGTCATTTGCAAGAACTCTGGTTTAGTAAAAACTCTTCCGTTTTTTTCGAAAAAATTTCCAGAGGTAGTTATTTTTATTTCGATTCCGGTAAACTACTTTTTTCTTGTGGAACGGGCCGGATCCACCCGAGACTCGAAAGTCCGGGTTCAAGACCCGGATACACTTACCCGATATAGACAATATAGTTAAAGTAGTTATAGCTTATGAAAATACCTATCCAACGTATGTTGATTAAAATATGTACTTACTTGGACTTAGAAAATGCAAATAGGTTTGTTTGCTGTCTTAGCACTCGCCGCTGCATGTCGATGTCGTTGCCTTTCCGTAATACGATTTTTAAATCGAAGCGATGGTGATGTCGCCGAAATCGACTGATACTTTTTTACTTGTTTTAGTAAAAAAGAGGGAACCTCAATAACTTTGGACATATTATGCCAATTTAAATTTTTACTATTCAACTATTTTGTACATCTTAGTACTTTTCGTGTCCAAAAGAAAACAACCCTTTCTATAATTTAAGCATTTTTTTTTGGTAAAAAAAGAAGTTTATTAAAAGTACAAAAATTCAGTACAAAAGACTACACAACGAGAATGTTTGTCCTCAAAACTCTGTCCAAACAATTCATCCACTTGGCTGAAGAATTTCTGATAGCTTTTAATACGAAGAAGACGATGGCGAGCCGTAGCTAGGAGCAGGGGCAGCAGCGGCACCACCATAACCGCCATTGAGGTTAGCCAAAGCGGCCAAACCATTGTTGCCGGACAGCAATTGGTAGCCAGAGTTGGCAGCATTGCCACCAGCAGCAGCGGCGGCGGCAGCAGCAGCATCATCACCACCAGCACCGCCGGCTCCACCGCCCAAACCGGCAGCGCCCAGAGGAGCGAATGAGGCAGCATTGTTGAGCGAGAAGGCACCGGGGGCATTGGCAAAGGCACCGGGTCCCAAGTTGACGGGCACAAAGGCAGCGGGTTGGGCACTGAACTGTTGTTGTTTCTCGTTGACGAAGTATTTCTCTGCTGGGGGCTTGACAACATTGACGTAGACAGGTTCAACCTTGACTGGGCGGGGGTGGTGCTTGACAACGACCTTGCGCAACACGACTGCTGGGGGTTTGTGCAAAACAACTGGGGCGGGCTTAACGACTAGTGGGGGGTGGTTGACAACGACGCGGGTAGGAGGGCGCTTGACAATGATGGCAGCGGGACGGTGGATCAAGATCTCACCCTTGTTGTTGGGATAGGTGATGGAGGAACTGATACTGTTGCCTCTGGTGTTTTGGGGGGCATAAGGAAGATTGTTGCTGCTGCCATAGCTGGAGCCACCGACACCGGATGTTTCGCCGGTGTTGGCCGTGGCAGTGGCGGCGGCAGCACCATCAGCACCAGAGTTCAAACCATGGAAGGCACCGCCATCGCCACCAGCAGCGGCGGCAGCGGCAGCTGTGTCCGCACCTGCGCCTTGACCGCCATAACTGCTACCCGAATTGTAGCCAGAGGCATTGGCCATTGCCTAAACGAATGCGGAAATGGAAATAAAAACAAAGCCGATTAGTCACAAAGAACATATGACAGTGTGCGTGTTTCAACAAAACATCGAGATTGACTACCGCGATGGAAGAATACCTACAATCAATGCAATGGTGAGGGTGGCTACGAAGAATTTCATCTTTGTGCTGTTTCTCTTTAGTCACCAAGTCTTGCTGAAGCTCTTCTGCTCGTCTCGTACTTGATTCTCAAGGCAACTTCTGTTGTTGACTGATGCATGATGCCGAGCTGCATCTTGGATTTAAATATGATTTCACGTAGACCCAACTGTGATGCGAGTGGCTATGAAATCGAGCCAAGAAATTCACTTCCAATTACGTGACATTTGTCCAAAAATTAGGTTCTCCAGCGGCCGCTGCAATCTGCCGGTCCCCCTCCGCGCACCAAGTGCCCCATTTGCCCATTGAGGAAAATGTATTGATATCTTAACGCAATTTTTATCATATTTTGGTTAACAATAATTTTGTGTTTTCTCTTGTTGGTGATGACGAAGAGGCTGTGTCTCCAACCCATGATTTTCTCTCATTAAAGATTACAGAATATTTTACAAAAAAAACTGAAGAGAAATGAGATCACATTTCGTTTTTTCAGAATGATGATGAATTTTGCAAAAATGATAAGCTCATGTAAAATGTTGAAATAATTGATATTTCGATAGTTATGTACTATGTTTGACTGTGTAGATAGTTGTGCTCAGCCGACTTCAAATACCAAATTTAAGTAGAATCTGTGATTTTCTTATGTGGGTCCCATATAAAAAATTGGACCAATAAAGTCTAAATTAATTCAAAACCAACCTATTGGAATTTGAGAAAATGAGGTGAACATCATAAATGAACCCCATATGTAAAAATGTATAAAGACTAGGACTTAGCATGGGTACTTAGGGGTTTTGATGATCGCCGCCCCACTATTATGTACATTGTGTAATTTAGGTGTAATGAAAAGAAGATAAGATAGACACATCGCTGATGCAATAGAACCACATTTAGAGACAATTTACGCATATTCATTCATATGACTGCCAAATTGAGATGCACTTCTCCAAAATTGAACCCTATTGGAAATTTTGATAATTTGGATGTGAATTGGATATAACTGTCATATATATGTCTTCCAATTTTATGTTTATTGTGCACCAAATGTCTTTTTGAACAAGATGCATTTTAAAGAAAATATTCGAATAATACTAGAAATCGAAGTAAGACTTCCAAGAATTCCAAGTTCAGATTTATTTAAGTTACCAAAGCCATACCATACCATATGCACTCGATAGCAGTAATATTCGATACACGATACATACAACCTAGAAATATTTGCACCATTTTTTTCGAAATCTATTGATTTAGATTTTGATATAGCTTCTTTGTTTAAAGACATCCTGTTAGTTGAAGTTACCACCCTTCTACGTTTTCCAAATGTGTTTCTTTTTCTGATTTCTAAAGTAATGCTATGAACTTTATTGCCATGCTCCAAGAGTTCCTCTATCAAATTTGCTAAAAATTGCTTCAGATTAAGATTTAGCACCCTTATATGTTATATGTTGTCAAAAGTCAAGTCAAGTTTTGGCTTTAACTTACTTTCATAGGGCATGTAACACTGTAGCGGCCAAATATAGTACGTTCGCTATATCATTTATTTGAAAGGTCTATACCATATTTTCCAATCAGTTTTGGAAAAAAAATAAAATTTCATTTCTTTGAAGGTAGAAAACTTTTCGACAGCAGCACCCATATATAACGTCATCTAAGTTATGTGTTACCGATGTGTTGGTATTAGGTCTTCAAAGCAAAACTTCAGAAGTGGTTTTAATTCCCAGATTAATTGAATAACCCTATATGATCGTAAGCTTATATTGGGGCCTTTCATACTGAATATTTTCTGTCGAAAAGCTTTCTACCCCCACTGAAATCAAAATACAAATTTATAGTCAAATCGAGTAAGTGAGGTAAGACCCTTGCAATATCTAGACTCAGGTGTTATATTTATGTGAGGGCTATACCAAAACGTAAAAAAGTGGAATTTCTATATAATATGAACTCAAAATACAAACATTTGGCAACATTAACTGGAAAGTATGACTCAAAAGTACAATGCACTTGAAAGCGGTGCTAATCCTTATACTTATAGCTTACTAAAAAATGAACCGAAATAACCCAATCTTTGAAAACAATGATTCTTGAAAAAAAAAAAATCCAAAGCACTATAAATTTCCGGAATTCTACATTAAATGTTCCGAAATACAGGGTGAGATGAAAAACAGCTCATTATATTGTTTACAAGCGTAAAGAAGCATTTTGATAAGAATTTTCCAGAAAAAAATAAATTACTCGTGATGGAATTCAAGCGTGATAGTGTGATTTCTTTAAATTTGGCTGGAAACCCCCAAGTGGCTATCGTTAGAGCACTCCAGCATTTAAATGTGAATAAATCTTTTGTGCCTCGTATCATTGTTCGTGGTTTTTTCCGATGAGAAAACATTCGCAAAGCAACACTCGGGCAGTGTGTGGCGGTTTTATTGGCCGTTTGAAGGCCATAATTCGTGCCAAAGATTACCAATTCGACCAAATCTAAACTTATTATAAAATTTGATGCTATTTCCGACATTTTTTCCTTTCATTCAATAAAATTTAAAAAACTGTAAAAATTATGACGTTTTACTTTGTTGCTCAAAATATTGTGGTCCTTTGATATATGGTCTATGGCGTAGGATCTTAAGACTAAAAAAGTTCGGCCTAAGAACCTGAAACTCTTTTGGGGGTTTGATCCACTTGGATTTGATAAAAAAAAAAAACATTTAGAAAATATTTTTTAAGACAATATTTTCTGGATATATAATAGAAAAATATAAATCTTTTTTTGATGTCTTGTAGAAAATTTTCATAAATAATATTTTAGCCTTTGAGGACAACAGAAAAGTTTTGTTCTATTTTTGATATTACTGTCCATATATTTCAATATTTGATCTCAAATTATGCACATTACAGCCGATACCTCTAGAAAAAATGCTTCAATGAGTTTTAACATAGGCCCACTAAAAATAGTCTAAAGACCGGTTTTGAACGTGAAATAAAATATTCACCGAACTCGCCTCGCGGTAGGTCCATTGTTACGCGTGCTGACGCCGTCTAGTTGAAACCACAGTCATGCAAGTTATGCTCTTGCATTTCGGGCAAAGAAAGTTCGATATAATCTCACGGTAGCGCTCACCATTCACAGTTAGGTTACGATACGGAGCATCTTTAAAAATTTTGGTTCGATCATGCCACCAGTCCATGAACCACCCTTTGACAATGCTTATTTCTTATCTTTACTCCAAAATCGAAAATTGAAAATTGTTGTAATACGGCTAAAAGGTACGTACGTACGTTTCAGGACATTTGGCGTCGATTTAGCGATGTCGGTCCGTCTGTCTGGCTGGTGCGATTTGATACAACCTTGGTACATCGTATTATTTTTGTCAAACTTACATCGAGTTCGGAGATGGGCAAAATCGGTCCACTCCTTCTGGTACCTGCCTCATAAAAGGTCCAAAATTGCATAGAAAATATTGTACCTCATAGGAAGAGAACTGATAATCTGTTTTTGTTCAAACTTTAAAAATATGTGCATTACCGCAAGATGCATTATCGCGAGAATGGACACGATCGGACTACTTCTTTTAGTACCTCTCCCACAAAGGGTCCAAAGGGTCTAAAACGCTCATAAATTGCGAAATATACTACAGATTCTTCTCAAATTTCACACATACCTATATTTTTACCATTATAATAATCTGGTGTAAAGATGGAGTTTAGCGGACCACTCGGACCATGCATGTAGATAATATTTAATACCAATATCCTAATTTTATACAGCCATCAGTGATTCTCATAGCAAATTTTACAAATGTAGCATACATCATACAGCATGCTCAAGCTCTCGTCGTAAGAAAATGAAAAAATAATTTCCAATATTTACATAATTTTAAAGATTTTTAAATTTTGAAAAAAAAAAAAAAATTGCACAGAAAAGAGATTATCAGACCAATCGTAATTAAACATTTTTTACTATTGTAAAAAATTGGAGAGGAGAGAGAGATCACAAATGCTCTCAAATTGAATTTCGCTCTAAAAACAATCTCCATTGCAAAATTTTAGCGATTTTGCAAAGATATTTTAGTTTTGAAAATTATTAAATTATACCATTGATAGATATTTTCTAATTTAATTTTAACAGCATCTAAAATGAGACAAGAATCTTTGGTGAAATTTGACTTTTAGTATAGTGTTTTCGAACTTCTATGTTGCCCCACCGATTTATGATATCTCGAGAAAATTGTGTTCCGTTGGAATAAAATACTTCTCGATTTTTCAACTTAAAAAAAATTGTCCCTCAAAAATATTTTTTGTTTTAAATTAAAAATTTCTTTATTGAGTATAAAAAATTTTGGCATATTCTAGGCGAAAAAAATTGGACAATCCATTCGATTCATTCCAGGCCAAACGAAAACGCAGTTGTCCAACTTTCTTCTCTCGAATTATTTTAACAAATAATTTAATAGGCCGATTGACCACCGTACGATGCAGCTGGGGCGGAGTAGGCAGGAGCGCTGTTATAACCAGCAGCACCACCGTAACCAGCATCACTGCCAGCGGCGGAGCCAGCGGAAGAGCTGCCACCATATGAGGAGCCGGAGCCGTATGATGGACCATAGGAGGGAGCGGCGACGGGAGCATCAACATGCTTGCCGGGTTTGTATACTTTAACGTAGACAGGGTTAAGGCTAAGGGGAGTTGGCACCTTGTTGATGACTTCCTGTTGGTAGATGACGGATGGCTTCAATTTGTAGATGATGGGAGCGGCACGGACCACAGATGGGGGACCGCTGTTGACCTGGGTGACGGGGGAGCCGGGTTGGTTGACAACCAGGGGTTGGAGGGGCTGGGTGGCAATGACGTGGTGGGTGTTCAGTCTGTTGGGCACCAACAGGGAACGGAAGGCGGTTTGTCCCACAACATTGGGAGCCACAACATTCACCAAACCCTGACGGATGTTCGAGGCCAAAACATTCTCAGCCAATGACTCGGCAATGGCGTCGGAGTTCTTGAGGTTGTTGTAGGCAGAGTTGGCCTGGAGGGCAGCCAATTGGGCGTTGGCAGCAGCCAAACCGGCTTGGGCAGAGGCGGGAGCAGAGACATCAGCAGTAGCAGTCAACGAAGCTGCACCGCCTTGTTGGTTAGCAGCGGCAGCATTGATCAACTCCTCGACACCATTACTGCCGGCACCATAACCTCCAGCTGGGCCATAGGCAGTGACAATCTACACAGAAGAGGGAAGAAGAGACACATTGAAAAAAAAGTCAACTCGTGCCTGGCGACATCAAACCTACCGGCAGCGCAATGGCGCAAATTGTGAACACAAAACGGAAATTCATGACTGAGAAAGTGTTGTTCTTCAGAATTCGCCTCAGATGCGCTTCTATGTTTGTAGGCTTACTAGAAAACGCCACAAAATCAACTGGTAACAGCTCTGGGTGCTGGACCAGCTTTTATATAATGAAAAGTGGCCAATTTGTGAATGGTGGTATGCGGTACGTGATGTTCGATCGAAAAATTCTTGAGACCGACAGACAGACAGAGAGATGTTTGTCTCAGTGCAGTGCTGAAGTTATGACGAAGTTTCTTATCGTATCACCAAATTCGTCGTCGTCGTCGTTGTCGATTCGATTGGATATTCATTTTTATTTTCTTTTGAGTTAATGTTATTTGATTTGATTATTTGAAATGCAAGATGAGGTCAGAACAAAAAACAGAGAAACCGATATCTCTTCCGTTTACAGCGCAATCTTGTTGGGAATAGAAGATGTAGATATTATGGTGGGGTTTGGTTTGTTCTTCTTGTTGGCATTCACAAAGAGACTGTTGAGAGTTGAATTATTAAAAATCTCTTCAATATTTTAGGGTCTCAATTCAATAGTTGTAGGGTAAAGAAATTTAATTTAGATTGTTACAGTCGAATTTAAACAATTCATCAGATTTGGACTCATTCGATTTTTTTGTTTCCAAAACAAAATGCGTAAGTTCGGTATGACTGGGGTTTTTCAATACCTTCTTTTGGCTTCGAAAATTTTACTTCGAAATACCTAAAATTTTAGTTTACCATTTCATAAGAGACTAGCAAGTGGCCGCAACTTCGTTAGCGAAAATGGGATGTCGCTCGAATCTGAGTGATCATATTTTCCTCATTTTTGAGTGGGAGCAAAATTCGTTCAAAATCGAGCAGATTCTACTCTTGCCGAGCACTCTTTTAATTTTTGTCATACCGTTTTTGTATTTCTATATATGTGTATTTTTAAATCCTCAGTTATATGGCCCCTCTCTAGCCATATATCATTTGATACGGCCAAAACGTGCCACATCTGTCTGTCTGGCTGGTGCGCACGATAACTCTCGAAGGGAGTATCCGATTTGATCCAAACTTGGTACATCGTAATATTATTGTCAAACTTAGATCGAGTTAGGTGATGGGCAATATCGGTCCAATCCTTCTCATACCTCCCCCACAAAAGGTCCAAAGGTCAAGGAAAATATTTTACTACGCAGAGAGAAAAAGAGTAATCCGATATTTCTCTAACTTTGCAAATCAGGTGCGGAAATGGACAATACCCCCAGAAAGGGTCAACATTTTGAATACATATGAAGCACATAAGACTCGAAATTAACATCCAATTCCATTCAGAATTGGTAGATCGAAATATTTCTCTCAAGACAAGATCTCTTATAAAGATGGTAGTGATCGGACCATTTCTTCTGGTACCTCCCTCCCAAAGAGTCAAATTTGTGACTAACCAAAACTATCATAAAATCCGAAATAAGCATCCGCTTATCTTCATGTTTCACATATCCCATTATTTTCAATAACACAAGATTTGAAATTCGGTCCACGATTTTATGTAGCCCTCATAAAAAGTTGATGTTAGTTGACAACAAAAATTGATGTTGGGACAACACTTTCGAAAGGTTTTGATTGTAGTTTTAACCCCATTAAGTACTTTGTCAACACCGACATATCATATTTTTATACCCTCCGCCATGGTATGAAGGGTATATTAAGTTTGTCATTCCCTTTTGTAACACCTTGAAATATACATTTTTGACCCTACAGAATATATATTCTTGATCAGTGTAAAATTCTATGTCGATTTAGTCATGTCCGTCCGTCTGTGGAAATCACTCTAGCTTCCGATCGAAACGAAGTTGGTCGATAAAATTTTACTCAGAAGGACTTTTGGTATAGCCTCAATATAACTGTACCGCAAAATGTATGGTTTTTGATGATTTAAGTCACAATTTTAGCCCGAATTCGCTGTAAAATGGAACTCCCAGTATGTGGGAATCTTCTTGCATAGAATTCTTTATATTGGTCCAACTTTTGGTATGGTCCCACATATAACTGTAATGCCAAATATTTGGTATTTTAATTTGTATTTCGTTATATTATTTGGAGTTCGTTATGGGTACTACATCATATGACAGAAAATTTCCTGTACAGATCCATGTCCTCGCATAACCTCCCAAAATCTGATTTTTGAGCTATTTTGACGATTATAGCTATATTTTTTATCGGAATTTTCTCAAACTTAGTGTTTTTAGTTCGTAATAGTTATAGCCCCCATATAACTGTACCGGTAGTTTTATGGTCTCTTGGTTGGTTTCATGGTCTTTGTGTTTCCAGAAGTAGGGAAAAATCCTTGCATAGAACTGTCTATATAGGACCTAGTTTTGAAATGGTCCCCATATAATTGTACCTCCAGGTATTCCGAATTTTCTTTTCACCGGATTGATTAAAAAATGGTGTATTTTGAGTTCGACAGATAACTGCATGTAGAGGTCCACATTGTCGTATAACCTTATATAACTAAAATACAAGATATTCGGATTTTTTAAAAATTATAGTGGAATTTTTAGACTTATTTTATGTTACATTTTGCCAGTTCATTTCAAATTGGCGAAGGGTATCAAAAGATCGTCACGGCTACCTTAGCTGTTTTTTTATACCCTACACCACATAGTGGTAAGGGTTTTATATCTTTATGCGTTTATTTGTAACATGTATCCGATTGAGGTGAAATTTTTCACACATAATTTTTTTGGGACAAAAAAAAAAAAAAAAAAATCGGCTTGAATTTAGATGTAGCTCCCACATATATATCTTCAACCGATTTCGAGTGAGGATATATATGGGAGCTATATGCGCCAAATACCCAATATCAGTCCAAATGGCCTGAATTTTGGCACATCCGACCGAATTCAGTCTAGAAGCAAATACATTAAATTTGGTGAAAATCGGTTCAGATATAGCTATAGCTACCCTATATATGTTAAAGTGGTGTTAAAGTCCTTCACTTCAAAACAATCACATTTTATACCGGGCATCAGCTACTGCTCAAAAATACCTTTGCCCAATTTTATCAAGATCGGTTCAGATTTTTTTGTAATTTCGATATACATCTTCATCCGATTTTACGGTTATTGCTCACCGTATATGTAATATCAGCCCAAATTGAATAGATTTTTTCATATTCAGCCGAATTTTTCCATTTGGTGAAATTCCTATCCTCCAATCCTTTGAAAATCGATTCAGAGTTGGATATAGCTCCCAAATTATGACTTCTCTAAAACCATGATAATCATTCAAATAAGATTCATAGTTGGTATCTACTTCACACAAATTCCCAACATAGCCTTTTTTCGTTACGAGAGCTCTATTAAATACGCATAGTGGGGTAGGGCGTCATATAGTCGGCCCGCTCGATTTTTGGCCTTTTCATTACTGGTTTACTTGTTGAACATAGAAAAGTGCAAAATTTTGGTATGGCCTCATACAACTGTATCGCCTGATAGTATTTTGGCAATTCTCATTTTTAGAGGTTTGGGAAGCTATTTTTTTCTAGGATTTTAATGGTCTTTACAGTTTTGAATGGAACTCGCTCGAATACTGAATCTCGGTGATAAACGTGGAGGGTATCGTAAGTTTGGCCTGGCCTTTTTATTACTTCTTCTAACAAAACATTTGGCATATTGTAGGGTACTACATCATCTACTAATAATTTTCTCATTAAAAATGGGTCGAGGTTTGTTTTGAAATATGAAATTATGGCATTTTTGCAACCATCATCATAATATGAGATTGTTGAATAATATAATCGTCGGAGGTTTGTTTATTTGTTTTTCAAGTAAACTTTTAAAAGAAGAAAAACTCAGTGCACTGCATTTTGTTGTTACCAACCAGAAATAATATTTATTTATTTTTGCTGTTTGTAAATACGAATATGTTTCCCTATACCCTTCCTTGTGAATGTCCTCAAACAAATCCATTAGAATCCAACAGTTTTGTCAAAATGAAAAATACAATGATTTAAAAAATATGCTCGAACCCGTGGTATTTAATTATTTGATTTATTTTTAAACGATTTTCCCACGAAGTCTATTTGCTACAGATGACCACAAAATGTTTAGAGTGGCGTTGGCTATCAGAAGTTAGCACCGCCCGACTTTTGTCTTTCTTTATTGTATTACCTGTCATGATCGTTCTTATCAATTTTATTGGTTTTTATATCAAAACACACAATTTGAACTGTAAAAAATTTTGAAATAAGTAAATATTGCACATAATTTATTTATTAAATTTATTTTAAAAAAATCAGTAACTTTTGGTTTTTTGTTACCGTCAGCAAATGTAGAGAAGAAAAATATCATTTTTTATATTATATATCTTTGTTGTATATTCTGCAATAATTGAGAAAAAGATGACCGAGAAGCATTGGTGAAATTGGAAATTAAAATTCCGCACAGATATTCATGACCTGAGCCTATTCAATTCTGACCTGAGTCTAATGCCCATAATACGATGTGCAACGTTTGTATCAAAACGAAGGCTTCTGCATGTCAGATATGTAACCCACAAAAAAATGGCATCTAAAAAGTAGAGGAAAAAATAGCTTACAGGGTGAGATAAAAAACTGCAACTGCAATTTTTACATTTTTTTATACCCTCCACCATACATAGTATGGAGGGTATATTAAGTTCGTCATTCCGTTTGTAACTCATCGAAATAATTAGACCCAACAAAGTATATATATTCTTGATCAGCGTAAATTTCTAAGACAATTTAGCCCTGTCCGTTCGTCCGTCTGTCCGTCTGTTGTAATCACGCTGCAGTCAAAACGAATAAAGATAGGGAGCTAAAATTTTGGACAGATCTGTCTTTTGTCTGCAGGCAGGACTATATCGGTCCACAATATCGTATAGCTCCCATATAACGGTACCCCTCGATATTCGGTATTTTGATGATTTTAGCCACATATTTCAACGGAATTGCTTGAAATTCTACACAAGGAGTTCCTTGTGAGCAATTTACCCCCTGAATGAGATTTGTCTATATAGGTCCACGATATCGTATAGCCACCATATAACGGTACCCCCCGATATTCGGTTTTTTGATGATTTTAGCCACGATTTTCAACAGAGTTGTCTAAAATTCTACACAAGGAGTTCTTTGTGAGCACTTTACCCCCTGCAAGATAATTGTCTATATAGGTCCACGATATCGTATAGCCCCCATATAACGGTACCCCCCGATATTCGGTATTTTGATGATTTTGCCACATTTTTCAATGGAATTGTCTGAAATTCCACACAAGAAGTTCATTGTGAGTACTTTACCCCCAGACGCAGATTTGTCTGTATAGGTCCACAATATTATATATCACCCCAATATATCGGCTCCTTACGATATTCGGTATTTTTAAGATTTTAATCGAATTTTTAATGTATTTAATTTTTTTGAAAATTTCCTAATTCGTTCCAAATGTTGGAGGCTATTCAAAGTTCGGCCCGGCCGAACTTACTGCTTTTTTACTTGTTAATTTTATTGAATAAAAGCAAAAAATGACGGAAATAGAATAAGTTTAGATTTGTTCGAATTGGTCACCTTTGTCATGAATTATGGCCTTCAAACGGCCAATGAAACCGTCACACGCTGCCCGAATGTTGGCCCATTCCCGGCGAAGCGCTTGCTTGAGGTGATCGATACTTTGGAATTTTTTAGTGCCAACCTTGCTTTCCAGAATACTCCAGACACAAAAGTCCATTAGATAGGTATCCGGAGATTTTGGTGGACATTGTGCGCTGGAAATGAAGCGAGGAACCTCATTTTGTACCCATTTTGGGATGGCGAGTGCTGCGTGCAATGGTGCTGACTCCTGTTGGATATCCAAGGTCTGCGTCCAAAATGTTTGCGTGCATTGTGGCATTTATTCTGGTGCCACGGTCGATAAATACGAGCGGAGAGCGACCATCGGCTGTTATAGCGGACCACATCATCACCATGGCCGGCGCTTGAGTTCTGGTGGTCAACCGAAGGTGCACATTTTCAGCTGACCTTTTTGACAAGTAAACACGGTTATTCTGTTTACAAACCGCTGGACAAGGAATGTTTTCCCATCGGAGTAAATCAGATTCGGCAGTTCACCACTTTCGGCCAAGCAAAGCAACTCTTTAGCTCTTTTGAGTCTATTTTCTTTCTGTCGCGGTGTAAGTTCTTGCACTTTTTGGAATTTCAATGGCTTTACCCCGAGCTAATTTTCCATATTTTCCGAATGGAATATTGCGATATGTTCAGCTCACGAGCCATTTTTCGGCCACTACGACACGGGTTTCGATCAAGTCGCTTCTTTACTTTTCGAACCATTTCTGCTGAGGTTGCTGTTTTCATCTGTCCATTTCCTTGACGTCGGGCTACGCTACCAGTATCACAGTAACGAGCGATAATACGAGACACAATTAAATGCTGGAGTGCTCTAACGAAAGCCACTTGTGGTTTTCCAGCCAAAAATAAAGAAATCACACTATCACGCTTGAATTCCATCACGAATAAGTTTTTTTTTTCTGGAAAATTCTCACCAAAATGCTTTTATACGCTTGTAAACAATATAATGAGCTGTCACTGGAATAAGTTTATCAGCTGTCGGACGAGTGGCTTAGAAATAACAGCAGTCTGAAGTTTGTTGCAGTTTTTTTCATCTCACCCTGTATGCGTGAAGTACCAGATATAGCGCACCGAGAGAAGTGGAAACTTCATCTAATGCAGATAAAAATATTGGTAAAAAATCGAACATTTATATCCAATTGTATACGAATTTTATTGAAAACTTTGACCCTTTGTGGAGGAAGTACCAGAAGGAATGGTCCGATCTCTACCATCTTTATAACATATCTTATGTTAATGGAAATATTGACATGTGTTAAGTCTGAATGGAATCAGACGTTAATTTTGTGTTATATGAACTTCATGGATATTAAAAATTTTGACTTATTGTGGGGGAGGTACCAGAAAGGAAGGACCGATACAGTCAATTTTCACACCAGAAAATACCAGAGCAAATTTATAACAGTTTTTATTCAAAATTTTGACCCTTTGTGGGGGAGGTACTTGATGTTGCAGACCGATATTGCCCATTTCATAAATGCAAATATTAGGATATGCAATGTTGGAGTAAAATTGGATTATCCTTTCTCTTTCTAGGAGGTAAATTATTTTCTTTGACATTTTTGGTCCAAATAAACTTAGGGTCTAAAACGGTTATTTCGATGAGGCACGTTTTGACCTATCAAATGGTACATACCCTCTGTTGCATAAGGCTATACAGTGCAATCCAAGAGCCCTTTGACTCACTTCTTTTCCATAAATACATGAGGGTTAAATTTCTGGATATGAGGGAACTTATTTTCACCTAACCCCCGAAAATGAATTCAAAACTTTTAATGGTTGCTGTTGTGACAAAGACAAAGTTTATTGAAATTTATTTTGATTTCATTCTCCCTTGACAACGGAATTCGGCGACTTGCCAGTCTATTCGAGCTAATCACAAAGAAGAAGAAAATGAACGAAGAATGCAGATCAGTAACCACAACTAGAAGTAAAGAAAAAGAAAGAAAGAAGAAAATGGAAATCACTCTTTGCATTTTAAATATTTATTTACAATTCACGAAGAAAAAAAACTTAAAAAGTAACTTAATTAAGACTAAACTAAAAAGTACGAAGTGGTTCCTACGGACTTGAATAAAAATTTGGATAGAAATTCGGCGCGGGAAATGTGTAGGTTTTATCCGCAGCACCAAATATCCTGTTGAATCTTCCCTCGGCCAGGAATTTTAGAAATGTTGCTGTTTCATGATCCTGTGCGGGGGGACTGCGATCGAACACTGACCCTTGGTATAAATCATCCTGTGACGACTCAATAAGGGCCACATGTTGTCTGACAATATCGGCTATGATCTGATCTAAATGTGCATCGGAATAGTAACCATTGACCGGTGTAAAGGTACGATAGTGGGGATCGGCCACAACTTGTACTTCATCTTCAAGGGAATGGGACAGAGCCACAGCTGGTTTGGAATATTGTGCCGAAAAGAAGTCGGCATCATTGTTGTATTGCGCCTGTGATGGACCCACAGTCGGAAGATATGGATTGACGCCATAGTCATTGGAATTCAATGGATAATATGAATTATCCTCCTGCCCATATCCTCCTTGTACAAAATAACTCTCAGCCGGCGGAGCTGGAGATGAGAATTGTGTGAAATGGACACAGCCATAGGGGCCGGCATTGCGTTTCTTCACCGTGGATGTGGAGGACAAAGAATTTGAATCGCCGCCATCGTGGTTATCCACCGGAGAATTCTCAATGTTATCATCCCCGCTGCCATCATCACCAATGTCCGAATAGTGATCTTCGGTTTTCTCCTCCGAACTGTTGGGACTCTCAGTCGTAACCTTATTTCCACTGAAATGTTTCAACAACTGTTCATCATCCATGTTGGGTAGTTCCTCAAACTGCCGACATGAGGCAAACTGGCATTGACCTCTCTTAAAGTTGGGATCCAAAGTTTCGGGCATAAATTGTATGATTTCGGGTAGTGTCAAATCCAACTGGTCACGTTCCTTTTCCAGTAGATCATATTCGCCCTTGATGTCACGTTTGCTGCGCAAACTCCTATCGAACATCATGTCGCTCAACTTGGTCAAGGGCCCATCCAGGCTATCCAGTGTGGGCAGCGCTGGAAATGCTGTGAAAGGTATAAAACTTGAAACAAATTTCGGCAAAATATCTGGTGTGGGTGTTGTGGTCGTTGTTGTTGTACTGGACACATCATTGGCACGCTTGTAGGAGGACAAACGTTTCTTGTATTGTTTGACAGTGCGTTCGGGTTTCCGTTCCACATATGATTTTCTTGGACTCAAACCAAAAAATTTCGACAGATCTCTGCGACGACGGGTTTTCGCTTGCGAGAAATCATCGTAGGTTGGATCCCCCTCCCTTTTCACAGGTGTGATAATGGCCGCCCAAGTTAGGAAAGGATGTCTCCTCTTAAAATTCGATTTCCTCACACTATTCGGATGTTCATAGGTCGCTAAGCTACGTCTAAAGATTTCAGCCTGGTCTACGGTGGATACATACCTGCAACGAGAACAGGTGCATTTTTCGCCGCAGCTGCAAGAGGGTGAACGCTTCGGGGCACTCACAACGCAATCTGTGAAAGAATGACAAGATGAAAAATTATTTTTTTTTACTTTTGGTAAATTTTGTGATTTTTTTAAATAGGTGTTGATAATTGTGCCCCCCTAACCATAGCTGAAGATGGTATACATCATTTGGTAGATGTACTTGCTTCTACACTGAATTCGGTCGAATGTGCCATAATTCACTCCATTTAGGCTGATACTATTCATTTGGTGCAGGAAAAACCTGAAATCGGGTAAAGATATATATGGGAGCTATATCCGAATCTGAATCGATCTTGACAAAATTTTAGGCACTTATTTCTGAGCTGTATTTGATATCTGGTACTAAAGATCATTGTTGTGGGGTACATATTAAGCATGCGAGGGGCTTAAAACCCCAAACCGGATGAAACATATGTATGGGAGCTATAGCTATATCGGAACCGATTTTCACCAAATTTGAAGTACTTGTTTCTAGGATGAATTCAGTCGGATTTGCCAAGATTCAGTTCATTTAGGCTGATACTAGCCATTTGGTGCAGGAAAACCCTGAAATCGGATAAAAATATATATGGGAGCTATATCCAAATCTGAACCGATCTTGACAAAATTTAGTTGCTTAAAATCCCAAATCGGATAAAACATATATCTGGGAGCTATAGCTATATCTGAACCGATTTTTTCCAAATTTGATGTACTTACTTCTAGACTCAATTCAGTCGGAATTGCCAAGATTGAGTTAATTTAGGCTGATACTAGCCAATTTTGTGCAGGAAAACCCCGAAATCGGAAAAATATGTATGGAAGCATGGGAGCTATATCCAAATCTGAACTGATCCTGAAAAATTTTAGGCACTTATTTCTGAGCTGTATCTGATATTTGGTACTAAAGATCATTGTTGTGGGGTGCATATTACGCATGTGAGGGACTTAAACCCCCAAATCGGATAAAACATATATATGGGAGCTTTAGCAATATCTGAACCGATGTTCTCCAAATTTGATGCACTTGCTTCTATACTGAATTCGGTCGGATATAACAAAATTCAGGTCAATTGAAATTATATTGACCATTTGGTGAACAATTAACCGGAAATCGGTTGAAGATATATATATGGGAGCTATATATAAATTTGAACCGATTCTCACTAATTCCAATAGGGTTCGTCCTTGGACCAAATAAATATTGTTTGGAAAAATGTTATCTCAATCGGATAGTAAATGTGACCTGCATTTTTATCACAAGAATACGTGGACAGACAAACGGACGGACATACATAAATCGACTCAGAAAGTGATTCTATGAAGATCCTTTAAAGTAACTATGGGTCAAAATAGATAATACCCTTACCACCATGTGGTGTAGGGTATAACAAGTAAAAATACCTTTTAAGACAACAAAATTCCAAATTGTGACTGATTCGGTTCAAATATATGATTAAAACCTTCAAAGTATCTTAATTTGAGGAGCATCCTTATATGGGTGCTACTTTCGAAGAAACCTCTCCATATCTCAACCGCAGATACCAACAGCGATCTTAATATCAAATTTTAGTTCTGTTATCTTATTTAGTACCATTTATTTATTATTTAGTACCATTTAGTATAAAATCATTTACTTCTCTCTACTACAGACACCGACTTTGACATCCATATACAATTTCAGGATTTTACCTCTATTCCCTTACCCAATACCATATTTAGTGCTATTTGAGATTTTTCGTAAATTTCCAAAACCACCTCCATATCTCAATTCCAGATACCAACAGAGACCTTCATATTAAATTTGGGGATTCCAACCATATCGCTTCACGTAATGCCAAATTTAGTACCATTCAGCACTTTTCGTATAATTAAAGTACACATTTCCGAAACCACCTCCATAGCTCAATCCCAAATACCAACGTCTCTGTATGTATATAGGACGCGGTTCCAGTCCACTGCCAAATCTCAAACACATATACTATCAGTAATCTACATATCAAATTTCAGGATTTATGGTACCATACCGTACTTTTCATTCAACTATAGTACACATTTCCGAAATCACCTCTAATTGTCCAGGCTACACATTAACAGCGACTCCAATACAAAATTTCAGATTTCAAGCACTTTATGCTTACCCGATACTAAATTGTATCAAATGTAGTACTATTTTGTACTTTTCGTGCACTTTCAGTACCTGTTTCCAATATTTCATTTTTATCACAAACCAACCACTAACAAAATTTCAAAATTCCAGCTTCATAGGTTCACCCTAAACTAAACTGTTTCAAATTTAGTACCACTTAGTAAAGTTTAGCACACTTAGTACACATTTCCAAAACCAATTTTCTTTCTAACTTACTTTAAGACCAAATATCAAGTTTTTCGCTCCATCAAATGGTACCATTTTCGGAATTTAGTAGCATTTTAGAACTTTTCGTAACCGTCAAGTTCGAATTTCCAAAAACCCTTTTTATACCCTCCACCATACTATGGAGGGTATATTAATTTTGTCATTCCGTTTGTAACTCCTCGAAATACTCATGTCAGTCCCAACAAAGTATATATATTCTTGATCAGCGTAAAATTCTAAGACGATTTAGCCATGTCCGTCTGTCTGTCTGTTGTAATCACGCTATCTTTCGAACAAATTGAGATAGAAGGCTAAAATTTTGCACACATGTATATTTTGCCAGTAGGCAGGTTAAGTTCGTAAATGGGTCATGTAGGTCCACGTTTTCATATAGCCCCCATATAACGGTACCCCCCGATATTCGGTATTTTGATGATTTTAGCGACATTATTTACCGGAATCGTTTCAAATTTGGTATTTGAAATTCGTAATGAATACTACATCCTAAGTCAAAAAATTAACCATGTAGGTCCACGTCTTCATATAGCCCCCATATAACGGTACCCCCCGATATTCGGTATTTGGATGATTTTAGCGACATTATTTAACGGAATCGTTCCAAATTTCGCATGTGAAGTTCGTAATAGATACTTCATACCATGCCAGAAAATTGTCTGTGCAGGTCCACGTCTTCGTATAGCCTCCATATAACAGTACCCCCTATATTCGGTATTTTGATGATTTTAGCTACATGATAAACAGGGGTTTCTTCAAGTTTCGCATTTAAATATTGTAATAACGTTGCCTATGCAGGTCCACGTCGTCGTATAGGTATTCGGTATTTTTAAGATTTTAACAGAATTTTTAACGGATTTTATTTTTTTTTTTGGAAATTGCCAAATTCTAAATTCATTCTAAATTTCAGAATTCTGTCTAATAAAAATTAATTTCAATTTTGTACATTTTAGTACTTTTCGTACCCTTTAGTATGAATTTCCAAAAACAGAGCGTTTTCACACGCCTACCCACCAACACTGGCCTCTGTGCAAAATTTCAAATTTTACCATCAGTCATTTCGTCTGGTCGTCGATTCTAGATCACTCAGTCAGTCAATGAGTTATTTCATTACTCTATTATATCCATAGATGAAGGTTCTGTTATAAGTTGAATACTTCTATGTGTATTCTACAGGTTAAAGACCTTACATAGGTCTTTTGAAGATGTACGACTTTCAATGGGAAGACATTTGTGGTCTTCTGTACATATGTCTTCTATAGATAGATACCTCCCTCTTCTTACAGACCTTTTAAATGGATCTTTTATAGAAAAAATACCTTCTGTAGTTCTTTCATAGAAATAATATTTTTTGTATGCTTTTCTGTTGGAAAAATACCTTGCCCGAATTTTCCATAGAAAATAGAAGATCTTCTATAGATTCAGATTGCATACATTTTGATTTTCCGTATTTTCATCTCTTCTACTTTCGTCTGATTGCATATAAAATCGGAAGTACGCCAAACAAGGTTAATTAAAGCAACCATCTGCATATTTCTTGACTTTCTTTTTTTTTTTTTTGGAAAACTTTCTCTTCATTAATATAAAGTTGCTATCTTTGAATGTTGTCAGAATTTTATTTCCTATAAATAATTTCTCTAGAAATGCTAAAACCCACTTAAGGTTATTCACAATTTTTTTTTTTGCTTACAATAGGCAGTTTCTGTTGGCATGAGTGGAAACTTGAAACCCGGAAAGTTTTGAATTGCTTTGCATTTGGTTTTTGTGAAATGACAATTTTTCAGTTTTCAGATGCAGTCATTTTCCATTGCAGAAACATGAAATTCTTGCTAGCTTTCTTTGTTTTGTTATCGTTGTTTGTAGGTCAGGTACTTTTTTTAAGCTACAAAATATCAAACAATTATTAAATTAAGATTTTATGCGGTTGAGTCGAATTGAATCTAAAATTCGCTAGAAATTCCAAAAAATCATATCAGAGAATAACTTTGAAATTTCACATGACCTAAGTCGGTCTTCCAGAAAACACTGAAATATTAGAATCTAAAAATTGATAAAGATATTCGATCATGAATAAAACATAAAAAACCTTTAAAAGGATTCAGAATTCGAGAGAGTTCTATTAATCGATTATATCGAAACTTGAACTACAAGAACGTTGTGAATGCTCCAAAAATGAGAAATGTTTTTTAAAAGTACTTAATATGGAGCTATGCTCAAAATTGGGTGTATAAAGCAGACATTTCTTTGCAATCATGGCTTATATCAGCAGATAACACAAAATTTCAGTTTACAAACACAAGGCACACAAAATCTTACGATACTCCCTCCATGAGCCCTACATCATAACGAATTTCGATTTTGAACATTTTTGACGTACTCAATGTTAAATATAAATATCAAATTATATCCAATTCTGTTTGAAATAAGTTAATAAGCATCATTCGGTTCTGCCGACAGACGTATACCCTCAGCCAATGTTCGATTATTTAAATATGGTATAAATAAATATAAATAATTAAATATATAAATATTTAGATATAGCAAATTGTAAGGAATCCCTGATTTGTTTCGTATGTTATGACAGATAAAAGTATTGATAATTGCACCCTTTGTAGGTGAGGTATCAGAACGGGTTCGCAGATATATATCATCAGCACAACAGATCTTGTGTTAGGATAATTGTCTTTATGTGTGATATTTAAAGATAGTTGGACGCTTATTTGGCTTACTTTAAGCGTTTAGGTTCTCAAATTCTTGAACACTATAGGGGGGAGGTACCAGAAGGAGTGGTCCGATTTCTACCGCCTTTATAACAGATCCTGTGTTGATAGAAATATTCAGATGTGCCAAGTCTAAATGAAATCGGATGTTTATTTCGCGTTTTATGAGCTTAATGAATATTCAAAATTTCGACCATTTGTGGGGGTGGTACTAGAACGAGTGGATCATATATTCCATCTTAACACCAGGCCTCAGGTTAATAAAATTATTGGGATATGTGAAATTTGATGACAATCGGACTCTCACATTTTAAAAGAGTTGTAATTATTCAAATTTTGGCCCTTTATGGGGGAGGTACCTAATAGAGTGGACCGATATTGTCCATTTTCGCACTTAACCTAGCACTGAAGTAGATATTAGGATTTGCAAAGTTGGAGTAAAATCGGATTATTGTTTCTGTTTCTGTGGAGAAAATATATATTTTTTTTTTGAAATTTTCGACCTTTTGTGAAGGAGGTACCAGAAGGAGTGGAATGATATTACCCCCCTCCGAACTAGATCTAAGTTTGACAAAAATATTACAATGTACCAAGTTTGGACCAAATCGGGTACTCTCTTCGAGAGTTATCGTGCGCAGGGTCTAAAACCGTTATTCCGATTAGACACGTTTTGACCGAAATTAAAAAAAAAAATATTTTACTGCACAGAAAGAGGAAGGATAATCCGATTTTGGATTTGGTGCGAAAATGGACAATATCCCCCACAAAAAGGCTCAAAATTTTGGGTTATACAATATTTTTATTAACCCAAGGTCTGTTTTGGAAGATGGAATAAATGCTCCTTCTGGTACCTCCGCCACAAAGAGTCAAAATTTTGAATATTCATGAAGTCATAAAAAGTGAAATTAATATCCAATTCAATTCAGATTTGTCTCATCTCAATATTTCCATCAATATAAGATTTGTTATAAAGATGGTAGAGATAGGACCATTCCTTGTGGTACCTCTCCCACAAAGGGTTACAAATCGATTATGAAATTCGAAATAATGATATGGTTATCTTCATATTTCACACATCCAATGATTTCTACTAACACAAGATTTGCTGTGAAGATGAAATATATCGGCGCACTCCTTCTGGTACCTCCCCTACAAAGGGTCAAAGTTTAAAATAACCAAAACGATCATAAAAACCGAAATAAGCACCCAGTTCTTCTCATATTTCACACAAGTTCTGCTGAAAATGTGGGATATATTGGTCCACTCCTTCTGGTATCTTCCCCACAAGGGGTCAAAATTTTGAATATCCATGAAGCTCATAAAACGGAAAATTAACATCCATTTCCATTCAAAATTGGTGTATTTAAATATTTTTATCAACACAAGACCATTTCTTCTGGTACCTCCCCCAAAGAGGGTTTAAAATTTTGAAAGAAATCGAAATAAGCATCCAACTCCCTTCAAGTTTCACACATACAAACATTTTTGTTAAGGCAAGATTTATTGTGAAGATTATTATCTGCGAACCCTTTCTGTTACCTCACCCACTAAGTGTCACAATTTTCAATATTTTTATCTGTCACAACTTGCGAAACAAGTCAGCGATTCTTTACAAATTGCTATTTCTAAACATTTCTCTCAACCAGAAACCTGAGTTGGATATGGAATTTAACGGAATTTATGATTTTGCATAAAATTGGATATAATTCGATTCGAATTCGATTTCTTGTAACTTTGCCCTAAACTAATATTTTTATCTGTATTAGATGAAGTGAAAAAATGGAATACCTCTGTCGACTATATCTGGTATCCGACGCCCATTTAAACATTATCACATATCTCATACCTGGTACGTCGCAATATTTATATCAAATTTAATTAGGTACGATACAAAATGGACATTATTGGTCCATTCCATCGGAACCTACTCCATATAGGGTCAAAAATTTGAATCGTCATAACAGAAATCAAAATATATTTAAATAATCGAATGTTGCCTGGGGGTACACATCTGTCGGCAAAACCGACTTATATTTTTTAACTTATTCTTCACAAATTTCAGTTCCACAATCCTCTGCGTTTAGTATTTTCACTTCAAAACTCTCCAAACACACACACTCACCACCCTCACACTTCTCACTCACCTTTCTTGTGGGCCGTTATGCGATCAACTTTGGCATATAAATTCAATTTTTCATCCTCAACCGGCAGAGGTCTGATCGGTTCCTGGACGGTGAAGTCAAAACTATAGGTCACTTTGCCCTTGGGCGGTGGTGGCACTTCCAATTTGTAGCCATGTTCGTAGCGTGGATTTTCTTTGGTTTCCGGTGGCGGTGGAATGTTGACCAAATAATTCAATGATTTCGGACAATCACAATTATCGCCGCCGGTGTAGACAACCTCAATGGGAAGGCATTGCAAGGTTGATATCTGAAGTTTATAATAAAAAAAAATAATAAATTGTTTATATTTTGTTGTTGAATTTTTGTGGAGTGGGTGTTTGGTTGGGGTGGTGTGACAACCAACTCACCATGGCCAATATCATTAACACCGCAAGACATTTGTTTTTCCCGTTCATTGCGTTCTCCGTTCTTATGATTCCGATATTGTTCGTTGTCACAATAACTATTTGCTTTGATTTGTCAAGAATTTTGAGATAAAACTAATCAGATATCAGCATGAAAAGTGCATTTATATAAACTCGGTATGAAAATGAAAGCTTTTTAGTAGCATTTCGGCATTGTTGTTGGGTTTTCTTTCATTTTTTTTTTTGAATCTTTCGAAATTACAAAATACGTGTGTTTGAACTTGAATATTTTCATGTTCATGGCGTTTTGGAAAGTCAGTCTCTTGAACTTGAGACGAAGTTCCAAAACAAATTATGCGTTTTGTCTATGGAGAGAGAGAACGAGAGTGAGAGAGAGAAAGTCATAAGACTACATAGGTACATAGTCTTGAGTGGAAAGTACACATGCAATTTTGAAAATTTTTGAAATTATATTAGAAGCATCACTACAACTATATTAACTAAAAAAAAAACTAAAAACAAAAACTTTGCTGTGAAAAAGATCTGCCAATAGAACTTGAGTCCAACCTGGAGAGTTTCTAGTGTATAATTCGCATATGCTAATTTGCAATAAGTTCGAAATATATACTACTTTCCAGAGAACGGCCCTTGTAAGCCATCATCCACACCAAATATGCCTGATGAGCCGCTTAACCAACGGCGAAACGCGTCGCATAGTGGTGAGTGTGTGATAGTGTCTATCTGGCTTTCCTTTTCACTGCAAATTTCAGATCATTAAGCTCGTCTCGAAAGAGAAAACAAACAATATATTAACTAAAATTTTTGTAGCACACAAATTAATTATGTGATATTGAAATCTCAGTTATAAGTTAGCATGTCTGTATGTTAAAAACAAAATACCCAGCAAGAACTTGGAAAATGTCTAAGCCGATAACCCATTACAAGGTAGTGTAAACAAACTGCCTTCTGCGTTAGCAGTAGCTTAAATATAATGGGGTATTCCTAAAAAATGCATAGAAAAATAACCTATATTTTTCATTACAAAGCAATGGTAACATCGGCCCAGGGTTGCTGTGTTCGGTCCACGATATCGTATAGCCCCCATACAACGGTACCCCCCGATATTCGGTATTTTGGTGATTTTAGCCACATTTTTCAATGGAATTATATGAACTTCTACACGAGAAGTTCTTTATGAGTACTTCAACCTTTTGAAGAAATTTGTCTATATAGGTCAATTATATCGCATATCCCTCATATAAGGGTACCTCCCGATATTCGGCATTTTGATGATTGTAGACAATATGTTCACTGGAATTGTCTGAAAATCTACACAAGGAATTCCTTTTGAGTACTTTATCGCCTGGAATAGAATTGTTTATATAAGTCCACGATATCGTATAGCCCCATAACTCGGTAATTCCCGATATTCGTTGTATTGATGATTTTACCGACATTTTTAATCGGAGTTGTTTCAAGTTTCGTATTTGAAGTTCGTAATGGGTACTACAACCTATGACGGAACATTGTCTATGTTAGTCTACGTCTTTGTTTAGCCCGCATATAACGGTTGTTATTTGAGTGGTATTTTTCGACGGTTTTTATACCCTCCACCTTGGAAAGGAGGGTATATTAACTTTGTCATTCCGTTTGTAACTTCCCTAAATATTCGTCGTAGACCCTATAAAGTATATATATATATATATATATTCATAATCAGCATAAAATTCTAAGTCGATTTAACGATGTCCGTCTGTATGTGTGTTGAAATCACGTTTCAGCCCACATTATTTGACGTAGAGCGCCAAAATTTAGCAGAGCAATTTGTATTCTGTCTAGGATGGTTCGTATTGAAAATGAGATATATCGGTCCACGTTCTGGTATAGTCCCCATATAACGGTGTCTCCCGATATTCGGCATTTTGATGATTTATGCCACATTTTTTCACGGATTTGTCTAAAAATTGGTATTTGTAGATCATAACCGGTCCCTGTGCGTGTGGGAAAACATTGCATGTATAGGTCCACGTTTTGATATAGCCCCCTTATAAAGCTACCTCCCGATATTCGGTATTTTAATTTTTGTCCAAATTTTTATTTTACGGATTTGTCTAAAAATTTGTATTTGTGGGTCATAATGGGCTCTAGCTCCTTTGGGGAAACATTGCATGTGTAGGTCCACGATTTAGTACAGCCCCCATATAACGGTACCTCCCCATATTCGGCCTTTTAATGGTTTTTGCCATATTTCTTTTAATGTTTCCTTTACCCTAAGGTGGAGGGTATTAAAAGTTTGGCCCGGCCGAACTTAATGTTTTTTTACTTTGTTTTTTTTTTTTTTAATTTTTCAAGATCCATCCAAATGGTGGATGGTATAAAAAACTTAACAGCTTTTTTACATGTTTGTTCTTATTTCCTCAGTTTTTGTGGACACATAGTAAATACCATTTAGGGTGACCTACCCTTATAATAATAATGGGTTAGTAGGTTAATTGAAACTACCAAATATTTCCTAGTAAATCCATAATTTGGCAATGACAATTTGTTTTAAAATGATTTGAAGAGAAATGGGGTTATATCGGACCACATTTGAGACTAGCCCCCATGTAACAGACCGCCTAGTTTTAATGTTTGAGACGCAATTTCCAACCGGTTGAGCCCCAATTTTACAGTTCGGTTCTCAGTGTGTAGAATCTTTTTCGGGTAAAAATAGTCAATGTTTGTTCACAATTTGGTAGCACCCATATAAAGGCCCCTTACTATTTAAAGTATTTCGAAGATTAAACCCAATCCGCATGATAATGACCAGAGTATCAGCATTATTTGATTTAGACCCCATAGAACAGCCTTTCCCGATATTATAAAGAATTTCGCTACATTTTTCATCGGAATTAATTTTAATTTAACAATTTGAAAGAAAATTCGAATTCTGCATTTTTTGGCATGGGCCCTATATATTGCAAACTATTGATTGCAGGTGGTTTGAAGGTCTTTGCAAAATCTTCCAGCCTTGAAATCTTGATAGGCTCGAGAACAATTTTCAATATAGATCCAGTGGAAAGTCGCCTATAGAACGATAGCTTCCAATAGATTATGAAAGTGGAATCAAAAATAAAAGATGGGTGCATCGAAGTTTCACAAGTTTATAGTGTCTTTGGCAATACTATTGATAACAATACAAGGATTAATTTGTTAAACTTTTTAACGCTCAAGCGAGTCACCAAAGGAGTCTTTTCGTTCTTTAAAAATATTTGGTTAAAAACTCCGTTTAAATGGGACCATAGCAAAATGCCAAACTCTAAATCCATATTAACGCAGGGAATTTCCAAATTATAAAAACACATTTTAAATGACCTTTCTATGAGTTTACGTTGAATTTTCTACAAGATTTCATTTTTAGAGCATGACAACAAAGACAAAAATATTTTTATTATCAAGCAGAATAATTTTTTTTTTAAATTTTACTAATAAAATGTCATGACTTTTTTTATAACCTCAGCCATATGGCGACAGAGGATATATATTATTTGATACGGCCAAAACGTGCCTAGGCCCTAGTTCTCTTTCTCCAAATTTGTTTCGGGGCATTTGGAGTCGATCTAGGGTTGTCCGACCGTCTGTCTGTAATAATGTTGTTAAACTTAGATCGAGTTCGGACATGGGCAATATCGGGCCACTCCATCTAGTATCTCTCCCACAAATGATCAACATTTGGAATGAATATACATTTTATAAAAAGGAAAATAAAAGTCCGATTTACTTTCGGATTTCACACCACCCAATATTTTCTTTAACACAAGATACGATGTGAAGATGGGATATATCCACTAATTCTAGTAACTTCCCCACAAAAGGTCATGAAGCTCTTTAAACGAGAAATAAGCATCCGATTACTCTCAAACTCGAAAAATTCCAATATTTCTATCAACACAAGCTCTGGTGTGAAAATGGGATATAATGGTCCACACCTTTTGGTCCCCTTCCCCAAGGGGCTAAATTTTTAATAGCCATTAAGTTCAAACTCGTTACACCTCAACATTTCTATCAACACAAGATCTGTTGTGAAGATAGTAGCTGTCGGCCTACTCCTTCTGGTACCTTACCAACAAAGGGTTGAAATTTCAAAGAACCAAAAAGATCATAAAACTCGAATTGAGCAGCTAATTCTCTTAAAATTTCACACAACCCAATGTTTCTACTAAAACAATATATAGTGTGAAGAAGGCACCACTCTTTCTGGTACCTTCCCCACAAAGGGTCAACATTTGGTATAACCCAAACTCTTATAAAATGCGAAATATGCATCCGGTTCATCATAAGCTTCATACATTCCAATATTTCCACTAACAGAAGATCTAGATCGGTCCACTCATTCTGCTACCTCCTCCAATAAGGGTCAACATACTAAATGAAGTGTATCTGGTACATCGCGCGCATTTAAACATTTTCCAAAAATTATAACATATGAAGTACAGGAAGTTGTCGTTATCTGCCAACTTTGGCACTCTGTAATATTTCTATAAGATTTATTTAAGATACAAAATTGACAATATTGGCCAAATCTTTCGAAACGTCTTCCATAAAGGGATATGTAAGCAAACCGAGGTTGACTTAGGGTATACATCTGTCGGCAAAATCGACTGATACTTTGAATAAATTTTTTAATCAAAACTTCATACGTTGTAGTAAATTTGCAGACCATCAATGTTTTATCTTTTTCGTAAAGAATAATAGGAAAAAGTTTTCCAAATTTTTCATTTTGTAGTTTGCGAGGAAGATATTAGTAAAACCATTGCACAATGAACCCACATCCAATTTTTCTGTCCAAAACTCTTTCAAGGTCTCCGCATGTAAGCTCTAAAGACCAAAAGTCACCACAATATCAAATTTTAGCTCAATGCTAAAATATGAACTTTTCGTACAATTTTAGTACACATTTCCAAAACCACCACCATATCTCAATCCCAGATAGCAACAGAGACCTCAATATCAAATTTCAGAATTTGAACTCTACTCCATTACCCATCAAACAATTAGAATGCACATTTCTAAAATCCTCTCCATACCTTTACCACAGTCACCAATATTAAAATCTATATCAATATTCAGGATTTCATCTCTATCTCTATTCAAATTTAGTGCTAAATTTCTATTCTTCGTATAATTTTAGTATTAATTTGTAAAACCGATCCATTTCTCAATCCCAGACACTAACCGTTATCGCATTATCAAGTTTGACTTTGAGGTCCAGCCCCATTCATGTGGTATTATTTACTGTGGTAAATGTGTTCCCATTTAGTACTTTTCGTACAAATATAGGGCGCATTTCCAAACCACCACCAAATCTCAAACACATTTCTAAAACCATATACCATATCTTTACCACAGACACCAACATTGACACTTACATCAAATTTCAGGATTTCAGCTCTATGCATTCACCCAATACCAAATTTAGTACTATTTAATACCTTTAGAACAATTACAGTACACATTTCCAAACGATCCCTATATCTTAACCAAATGCCCAATATAGTACTATTTAGTACTTTTCGTACAAATATGGGACGCGTTTTCAAAACCACTTCCATATCTCAATTCCAGATACCAATATCTAATTTGAGGATTCCAGTCCCTTTCCCTCAGCCAATTCCAATGTGGTATCATTTAGTACTTTTCGTGCAATTATAGTACACATTTCCGAAATCGCCTTCATTTGTCCAGGTTACACATGAACATCGACTCTAATATTTCATAATTTCAGATTCCAAGCACTATTTGCCCAATACAAAATTTTACCAAATATACTACTATTTAGTACTTTTCGTGCACTTTAGTACACATTTCCAATAGCACCTCTTTATCACAAACCTACTACAAACTTTCGAAATTGCTGCCTTACCCGTTCACCCTAAAGCAAACTGTTCCAAATTTAGTACCATTTAGTACAGTTCACACACTTAGTACACATTTCCAAAAGCATCTTCACATATATCAAGCTTACTTTCCATCCTTGATTCTCATATCAAATTTCAAGTTTCTAGCTCTATTCGTTTACATAGTACAATTAAAGGACTTTTCATACCCTTAAAGTTCGAATTTCCAAAAACCCTTTGGTACATCTATCCTGCACTCCATCAATGACTTTCATTCAGAATTCTAGCTCATTCTGTTTGTCCAATACAAATTAGAAAATTTTTAGTATTTTTACTACAAATTTCCAAAAACCCAGCCATCACACGCTTATGCACCAAGACTGGTTGTCGAACAAATTTTCAAGATTCTTGCTTCAGCCGTCTGGGCGTTGATTGTAGATTAGCATGTCGGTCAGTAAGTTATTTCACAACCCTTTCATAAATTGATTTCGATTTTATCAAACAGAACGGACAGTATATATTTACTTTTATAGCTCGAGATGAAAGAACCTAAATTAATTTTTTTTTTTTGAAAAAAATCCAAAATTTTTCAACAACAAGGCATAAAGTCAGTTTTTTTATTAACAAAAAATATAGAAAAATTAAATCACATACACACACATTTTCGTTACTTAAAAACTAAATAAACTATCATCCTCTTTTAATACCCATCATCACAATTGTCCCCATAATTATGTTTCGGTTTTCGATAGGGAGCAATACGGCCGGGTTTATACCCACAATCCACCGAAACCTTGCCACGAACTACATGACGTTCACTTTCACTATTCGACGACGACGATGATGAGACATACGAACGAATTTCCTCAAATGTTGGATTTTTATATTCCTCTGGAACATAGCCCAACTGTTTGTAGGTCAAACGCGGCTGATCGTCCTCTTCCTCCTCGCCATCAGCATTGGCCGGCTCCTCATCTTCCACCTCGGGATATTCATCTTCGATGTGTTTGGCATTAGAGTGGGGTACTTTTTTCTTTAGCGTTATAACTTCGCTATTCAGGGCGTAGAGATTTTCCTCATTCACCGAGGACATATAGATTTTGGGCAGGCCATCAATGGGCTTTTGGACAAAGCCGTAGGAAAGTTTAGCTTCGGGAACTTCTATGGCTTTTCCGGCTTGTATGGCCAGGCTGACACTTATCGGATCGGCGGCAGGTGAGTCGTCCTTGTAGGCGGAGGAAACGTAGCTGGTCCTTAAATTGAAGGGGAAAAATTTAGTTATTAGTTTTTTTTTTTATTTGAGATCTTTTTTTATTTAAGATTGTAATAATTATTTTCTGAACATAACCTACTGTGGCACAGCATATAAACTGGAAGAGCTGGAGGAAAATATTGCTGGTACCGAATGTGAGCTGGAACTTGATCCTTTACAGTTGCAAGGCCTCTTCTTTTCCTGTAATGGAAAAAATTAAAATGGTTAGTAGAATTTTAGAAATGAAATGTATAAAATGGAACATCTGGACGCTGACTGAATCAGAAAACCAAAAATTACAAGAAGCCCATGTCAGACCCAAAAAATATTTAAGTAATATTTTTTACCGGAATTATTTCAAATATTTAAAATTAAATTAAAGTTCGTAATAGGTACAACGGCCTATAACAAAAAATCGCGTATGCAGATCCAAGTCTTCGTATAGCCCCCATATAACGATATCCCTCTACATTCGGTATTTTGAATAGTTTAGCGACAATATTAACCGGAATTGTTTAAAATTTCGTAGTTGAGTTCATTATGGGTACTACAATATATGACAAAAAAGTGTCTATGCAGATCCGTATAACAGTACCTCCCAATATTCGGTATTTTTGATGATTTTAGCGGAATTGTTTCAAATGTTGTATTAAAAGTTCGTAATAGTCACCACGACCTATAACAAAAAATCGCGTATACAGGTTCTCGTCTTCGTATAGCCTCCATAAACGGTACCTCCCAATATTGAGTATCTTGATGATTTTAGCCATATTATTCACCTGAATTGTTTAAAATTTTGTATTAAAAGTTCATATGACAAAAAATTTCGTATGTAAGTCCACGTCTTCGCATAGCCCCCATATAGCGGTACCGCCGCAAATTGTTTGAAATTATTCAGCGGGATTTGTTTCACATTTCGTATTTGAAGGTTTAATGGGTACTACATCTCTCCATCCTAGATACCAACAGTATTCCACGATAAGTTCCATTTAGTACTTTTCAAACAATTATAGTACAATACCACATTTAGTGCTTTTAGTATAATTTTAGTACTCATTTTCAAAACCGTTCCTTATCTCAATTCTACAAACCAATATTTATCGGAAAATAAAATTTCATAGTTTCAGCTCTATACCTTCCCCCAGTACCAAATTTAGTAACATTTAGTCATTTTCGAAAAATTATAGTAGGCATTTTCAAAACAATTTCCATATTTCAAATTCAGACAAAAACAGTGACCTTAATATCAAATTGCAGCTCTTTAATTTCCCCCACTCACCAAATTTAGTATCAATAATTATGCATATCCGAAAGCAGTTCCTTCTCTCAACCATAGATACCAACGGTGACTTCCATATCAAATTTTGGGATTCCAGCCCTATCCCTTCATTCAACACCCAATTTAGTACCATTTAATACTTTTCGAACAATTATGTTACATATTTCCAAACCACCTCCATATCTAAATTGGAGATACCGAAAATGACCTCAATATCAAATTTGAGGATCCCAGCCTTATCCCTCCACGCAATACCAAATTAAGTAACATTTAGTACTTTTCGTATAATTTTAGTACTCTTTTGCAATGCTGTTCCATATCTCAAATCTAGACACCAACAGTTATAGCAATATAGAATTTCACGGTTTCAGCTCTATCCCCTCGCCCAAAAACAAATTTAGTAGCATTTAGTAATTTTCGAAAAATTATAGTAGGCACTTTCAAAATAATCTCCATGTCTCAACTTCAACCACTTATACCAACATCAAGTTTCATTTATATAAAATTTCAGGATTCCAGACCAATCCTTGCTTTTCGAACAACTATAGTATGGACTTACAAAACCATCTCAATATATCAATTCCAGATACCAATAGAGACGTTATTATCAAATTTGAGGATTCCAGCCCTATATCTTTACCCAATACCAAATATAGTACCACTTAGTACTTTTGGTGCAAATATAGGACGCGTTTGGAAATGCACCCTAAACGCCGAATTTCAAGCACAGATACCATAAGTAATCTAAACCTAATCCTTTCACCTAATACCAAATATAGTACCATTCAGTAGTTTTCCAACAATTAGTATACATTTCCAAAACCATCTCCATATGTCCAGGCTAAACATGAACAGCGACTCTAATAAGACATTTCACATTTCAAGCACTATCTGTTCAATCAATGCCAAAGTCCTATTAAGTCCTATCGTGCACTCGTAGTACACATTTGCAAACCCACCTCTTTATCACAAACCAACAGGGACCCCAATTCAAAATTCCAGCTTCATTCCTTCAACCTAAACCAAACTGTTCCAAATTTAATACCATTTAGTACACAGTTTCAAAACCACCTTCACATATGCCAAATTTACTTTGCAAACTTGATTCTCATACAAGTCGGTGGGGTCTGTTCTGGTCCTCATATACGACCGAATTTAGCCCAGAAAAGGAGAAAGTATCAAAGTCTAGATAAAAATCAGTTCAGTAGACCTATTTAGCCAATATAAACGGATGTGCCTAGTGAATATGCATAGTGATCTAGGGTATCATATAGTTGGCCCTGCCGGACATACCGTAAGTGGGCAAAAAATTTAGGTATATCGAAATTTCCGATTGACAAGAATTGTGCATACTAGCAGAAGGACTTGACCTCTCCAAATAACAGGTTTAGACCCTAGGTCTCTTTGGACCAAATCCGTTTCAGGACATTTGGAGTCGATCTAGCGATGTCCGTCCGTTCATTCGTCTGTCTGGCTGGTTGGTGCGCACGTTAACTTTCGAAGGGAGTATCTGATTTGGTCCAAACTTGTTAGATCGTAATATTATTGTCAAACTTAGACCGAGTACGCAGATGGGCAAAATCGGTCCATTCTTTCTGATACCTCCTCCATAAAAGGTCGAAATTTTTACTGCACAGAAAGTGGAAGAATAATCCGATTTTTCTCCAATTTTACATAATAATATTTGCATCAGTGGAAGGTCTGGTTCGAAAATGAACAATATCGATCCACTACATCAAGTACAAGGGTCAAAATTTTGAATAATTTTAACTCTTATAAAATGTTATGTAAGTGTAAGTGATTGTCTTCAAATTACGCGTATCACAATATTGTCATTAACACAAGGTCTGGCGTGAAGATGGTAGAGATCGGACCATTCCTTCTGGTACCTCCCCCACAAGGTATTAAAATTTTGAATATCCATGAAGCTTATAAAACGCGAAATTGCCATTCGATTCCATTCAGACTTGGCACATTTCAATATTTCTATCAACATAAGATCTGTTGTAAAGAAGGTAGAGGTCGGACCATTCCTTCTGGTACATTCCCCACATAGGGCTTACGATTTTCAAAAGCTCTCTTCAAATTTCACACATACACACATTTTGGCAAACCCAAATTCTGTTATGAAGATGATATATATCTGCAAACCCATTGTGGTATCTCACCCATAAAGGGTCAAAATTTACCCATTCCTTTGCAGTCTACTCCATAGAGCGTCAGCAATTTGAACAATAACAGATGTCAAAATATATTTAAATAATCGAACATTGCCTGAGGGTATACATCTGTCGGCAAAACCGACTGATACGTTTTAGCGCATTTTTAAAATTTCCATTAATTTCGTTAAGTTATTTACTTACCGCTTTAATCTTGGGCAATACAGCTGGTTCGATTAGTTTCTTGGTACACCAACATTTATCACCAATCGGTGCCACATTTAGCTCTGTGCCTTGAAACGGCCTCGTTTTGGGTCTCACTGCCCGTGGTCCGTCGCAGCCGGAGCAATAATCTTTGCCCTTTTCATTGCAAACACAGCCTGCGTCTATCTGGAGTCAAAAGGTGAAAATGAGACTCAGGCGATTTCAAAAATTTTATCTACACAACTATACCTCCGATGATAGCAGCAGCAAGGCCACACCAGATAGCAGCAGGGTCATAGACACCATCCATTTATGGTCCAGCAACATTATTGCAAATGTGTAATCCTTTTTTTTCGGCTAATTTTGCTGGATGTTGTCTCCTGAATTATCCCCAGTCTGTGATGACATGTATTTATCCGCTGAATTTGACCTACTTACCTCGTTCAAAGTGCACTTGTTTCTGGCAAATGATGGAATTCCATCCACCGACCTATGGTCATCCAGCCATGCCGAAAGAAGAAATATTGCATCTGAAACGAAGTCGTCTTTATCATCCAGAGTGAATTCGTGCACTTGCTCATACATGTCATGTCAGTCAGTCAGCCAGCCAGTCGACTAACATTTGTTAGATAATATTTTCCGGTCGTTTTCGTTTTTTTTCGCAAAGATGCTCCGTGTTTCTGCAGAGCTTGTTTTTCGATGTGAATAATTTCAAGAATTTCTAAGAAATATTGACAGATTATTAACCAAAAAATAAACACCATTGCGGGAGCTTGGCAGTCTTCGGTTTTGTCAACGTTTTACATATAAGTGCATGTACACATGTACATATATACTCGTATATATATTATGCAGTTCATTCAAGCCATTGACGATTTCAAAGGTTCTTCGCGGTGAGGGTTGGCAAAGTGCTGCAAAACTGGACGATAAAGGGCAAAAATACTAATTAGGCTTAATGGTTTGGAATGTGTACATTAAGGTGGGTAGAAAACAAATGAAGAGATGTTTATAGAAATGCGTACAACAAGTATATGAAAAGTACTAAATAGTACCAAATTTGATATTGGGTAAAAGAACTGTATGTGAAATCTGAAATTTGGCATTAGGTTCACTGTTAGTATGTAGGTGGTTTTGGAAATGTGTACTAGAAAGTACGAAAAGTACTAAATGGTGCTAAATTTGACATCCGGAGAGAGAATATAGTGGGAAATATAAAAATTGGAATTTGGATCAGTTTTTGAGGAATGAATAGAACTGGAAATCTGAAATTTGGAATAAGGGTCTTCCATTATGTGTACGATAGACGTACGAAAGGGTTTTTGGAAAAGTGTACTAAAAATCCAAAAATGTACTAAATTTTGTAAGGGTAGAGGTCTTAAAAAAATGTGTACTAAATGTTAAAACTGTGCTAAATTTGGTACAATTTGGTTTAAGGTAAATGAATGGAGGTGGAAATTTGAAAGCCCCGACCGAAGCCGGTTACTTGAAAAAATAACAAATTGGGAAAAAATTTAGTTCGCGTAGCCGGTATTGTATGTCCAATACCAGAGGAGAAAATCTCGAGACCCTTTCGAAGGCTGGCTACTTAAAAGGCTGGTTATCAAAATTAGTAAAACTTTGGTTTGCGTAGCCGGTATTGAGGAGAAAAAAAAAACATCGGGTTTAATCAGGATGTTTAACATACCCAGAGGAGAGAATCTCAAGCCCCGTTAGAAGGCCGGCTACCTAAAACAACATAAAATTTACAAAAACGTTTGTTCGATATCCGGAACAAAATCGGGACCCATATCTCAGGATCCAGAAAAATGTTGGAACACATTGTAGCATTTTAAAATGCTTGGTGTGTAAGCTATAACTTAGTATATATTTTGTGGATTCCCATAATGGGCACTTTTAGATTTTTTTCGGTTTTATAAAACAATCGGGTCCCAAAAATAATAATTTAGGTATAACTCACGAACCGTTTTAAATAATTCAATAATGTATATGGGTATTTCATTATATTTCAATATATATTTGGATATAACAAGGGACATTGACCCGGTCTTTTGGATCAAATCGTCCGGGTATCCGGGACTATCCTCCAAGAAAAAATACTTTCTCGGAAATACCTACTTTTGTAAAAAAAATTCTCAAAAAATCCGAGAGTTTTTACTAAACTAGAGTTGTTCCGCTAAAGTTTGATATTAGGATCACTTTTTGTTCGGAGGGGTTGTTATATAGATGTGGATTTAAAAATGCAGCAGGAAAAGTACTAAATCAAGTTGAAAATCTGAAATTTTAAAAAAAGGGTCTCTGTGAGTGTTTACGGTTGAGATTTTTGGCATATTGAAATGGATTTAAAAATGCGTACTAAAAGGTACGATAATTTCTAAATGAAGCTGAAAAACTAAAAAATCCGAATGAAGCTCTTTGATATTGTGTAGGATAGACGTACCGAAAGGTTTTAAGAAATTCAAACTTTATGTGTACAAAAAGTACTAAAAGTCATCAATTTGGGACCAAAGAACAAAAATCTTAAAATAAAAGTTGTGAAATACGCCTGATATAAGAAGATGTTTTGAAGATGCGTACTTTTGTGTACCAATCTACCAAATAGTACTAAATTTGGGACAGAATTGTTTTTTTTTTTCGAATGGATAAGAGAGGATTATTGAAATTGACGTTGGTGGTCATTGTAAGTGTGTACGATTGAGATATAGATGTCGTTATGGAAAAGTATACAAAATTAGTGTTCGAAAGGTACTCAATTTGGTATAGAGTGTAGAAATAGAGGTGGCAATATGAATTTTGGTATTAGGATCACTGTGAGTGTTTAACGTTTAGATACCAAGGTAAATTTGGAAAGGTGTACTATTACATGTACAAAAAGTACTAAATTTTAAAATGAAATTTGAAATAGAAGTGGAAAAATTAATTTTGGGACAAAGGCTGTGGAGAGCTTAGATAACACTGAGCAAAGCAAAAAATAATTACGGGGAAAGCCCAGCTGTAACCTATATCCCACTTTTTCACACTTTTGAAAAGTTTCGGATTAAGATTCCTCGAAATCCATGTATTTTAGGTATTTTAGGTTTAAGTCAGTGATTATTTTCAAACTTGGTATATCTAAATATTTCTCACAACCAGAGATCTGAGGTGAATATGGAATTTTTCGGTCCACTCCTTTTGGAACCAAATGTTATTATCAGCATTAGATAAAGTAGAATTTCTAGGTTCACTATATTTGGTATCTCTCACACTTTTCAACATTTTCCAAAAATTATCACGTATTTCATATATAGTGCAGAGTTTAGTCGATATAGTCTAAATCTGGCACATTGTAATATTTTTTATCAGACTTAGGTCAGATACGAAATGGACAATATTGACCCATTCCTTGGAAACCTCCGCCACACTTTCAATAATCATAACGCAAGCCAACAATAGTTATGTAAAAAAACATGGTAAAACCCTTCCAAGATTCCGATTTCGGGGGTAGGGTTCTCAAGATCTATATCAAATTCTGGACATATATTATCAATTTTATTCGAAGACGTCAGTTACCTATTAAGAACACCAAATGTCAAATTATAGTCTATTTTAACAACAAATGTACCTAAACTCTTCAAATTTCTTTAAATCGGAAACAAAACATGAACCTATCTTTACAATTATTTGGTTACATATTTATTGCTTAATATGAAGCTTCGGTAAAAAATATAGAAACATATTTGTCACCCCTTACCATACTAGAAATGAGATCACTTAGGTTTCTGTCGCCTTGAGATCATAAAGTCCGAAATTAAAATTTCCTAATTTCAGCTATATAAGTTCACATTATAGCAACGCTTGGAACCTATTACTCTTTTCTATACCCTACACCACATAGTAGTAAGGGTACTATGTCTTTTTGCATTTGTTTGTAACATGGATAAGGAAACGATAGACCCATAGTTCCTTTTGGTGATCAGCATAGAATCACATTTTTAGTAGATTTATGTCCGTCCTTCCGTCTGTCCATGGAATTTTGTAAACAAAATGCAGGTCGCATTTATTATTCGATTGAGATAAAATTTTGCAAAAGTCATTTGTTTGACCCAAGGACGAATCCTATTGAAATTTGAGATAATCGGTCAAAATTTAGATATAGCTCCCATATATATTCGTCCGATTTGTCGTTTTTGTGCACCAAACGTGTAATATCAGCCCAAATAGTATGGAATTTTGCACATACAATCAAATTAGGCCTGAAAAAAAGTATACCAAATTTGATCGAAATCGGTTCAGATATAGCTATAGCTCCTATATATATTGTTTATCCGATTTGTTATTTTTGTCCTCCGCAGCCGTAAAATGCACTCTGTAACAACAATATTTGCGGAAATATATCAAATACAGCTCAGAAATAACTTTGCTAAATGTTATCCAGATCGGAACAGATTTGGATATAGCTCCCATATATACCTTCGTCTGAATTGCCTTTTATTGTGCACCAAACCCGCAATATTAGACCAAATGGATTTTGGCACTTACGACCGAATTTAGTCTAGAATCTAGTATATAATATATAATACATATATTATGTTCATCCGATTTGTTATATTTGTATAACGATATTCACGGACATATATCAAATACAGCTCAGAAATATCTATGCCAAATTTTATCGAGATCTGTTCAGATATGGATATAACGCCCATATATATCTTTATCCGATTTCAAGTTAATTGTGCACCAAATGGGCAATACAAGGCCCAATTGAAAAGATACAATTCTTCCGCAAATTAAGTCCTTTGAACTTAAATTATAATTATCATAGCTTGTATGATTTAATTATCCCACAAAAACTTTTAATTGTTATCTGAAGCTCTACTAAATGTGCAAAGTGGTGTAGGGTATCATAAAGTCGGCCCCGCCCGCCTTTAAGACTTTCTTTACTGGTTATATCTTGATTTTCCGACAAAAACGTTTATCCCAACCCAGGACACCAAATAAAAACAAATCCGTCCATATTTTCGTTCAACTAATTCCAACTTCATCCTAAAGGGACAATTGCTTTTAAGATTAAAATTGAAGGTTTTAAAATGGAATCACAAAATTGTATTTGGGTATCTTCACTACCATTATTGATAACTGAATAAGTCGTTGCAAGCTAAGCTATTGACTTCTTATTGATCACCTAATTAATTCGAAACACTCGAAATTTTTTTGTATTTTTATAGCCACTTTCACTTTTCTCACATAACCGAAAAAATATGCTTACACAAATTATTTCCAATCAGCAAAATAGCTTTTCCAACTTTCACTGCCACACTCTTTTTCCGTATTGAGACCCTGTAATGACCTACAATGCGCAATTTCTGCCGAGTAACGAAAAAACAAATTCGGAAATGTTGCGAAATTTTGTAAACAAAATTTATGAATAATAAACATAAACAATTTTTGTTTTGCACACACACACTTTCTCATTTTCTTTTGCTTTTTAGTTTTGTTTTTGATGACCCGCTTTTTTCACATTTCCGCATATATGTTCCGATTTTTTTGTGCCAAATTTCTTTTTGAATTTAGGTCATAGCGTTCTTTTTTTTTTGGGTGGGTGATCCCATTCCGGTAATTGTGTCAATGCGAAATAATCACCAGACCCCGCGCACAAGGGAGCAAATTCAACAATAAAACGCCACATCAAAAGTCTGGCCAGAAACTGTGACTTCTTGAGTGTCACCAACAATATTTTGCCGATGTTTATGACTAGTATCTGATTTGCTAGCGCAGACACACCAGCACACACACACTGATATTGGCTTAGTTCGAGACTAACATTCAATGTCCTAAGCTTAGCGATGCAAAAAAATATCTGAATCAGGTCAAGTTCGCTGAAAGTAGATCATTGCAGTTTTTTTTTGAGGGGCGAAAGTAATTTCTATTTTTTTTATATAGATTTCCGTATGGCTGAATAGAGTTTCCGTTGGGGAACTTCGATTCAGCCGGGCTGAATAGAGTTTCCATTGGGAAAACTCCGATTCAGCCGGGCTGAATAGTGTTTCTATTTGGAAAACTCCGATTCAGCCGGGCTGAATAGAGTTTCCGTTAGGAAAACTTCTTTTCAGCCAGGCTGAATAGAGTTTCCGATAGGAAAACTTCTTTTCAGCCGGGCTGAATAGAGTTTCCGATAGGAAAACTTCTTTTCAGCCGGGCTGAATAGAGTTTCCGTTAGGAAAACTTCTTTTCAGCCGGGCTGAATAGAGTTTCCGTTAGGAAAACTTCTTTTCAGCCGGGCTGAATAGAGTTTCCGTTAGGAAAACTTCTTTTCAGCCGGGCTGAATAGAGTTTCCGTTAGGAAAACTTCTTTTCAGCCGGGCTGAATAGAGTTTCCGTTAGGAAAACTTCTTTTCAGCCGGGCTGAATAGAGTTTCCGTTAGGAAAACTCCGATTCAGCCAGGCTGGATAGAGTTTCCATTGGGGAAAACTCCGATTCAGCCAGGCTGAGTAGAGTTTCCATTGGGAAAACTCCGATTCAGCCAGGCTGAATAGAGTTTCCATTGGGAAAACTCCGATTCAGCCAGGCTGAATAGAGTTTCCATTGGGAAAACTCCGATTCAGCCAGGCTGAATAGAGTTTCCATTGGGAAAACTCCGATTCAGCCAGGCTGAATAGAGTTTCCATTGGGAAAACTCCGATTCAGCCAGGCTGAATAGAGTTTCCATTGGGGAGACTCCGATTCAGCCGGGCTGAATAGAGTTTTCATTGGGAAATCTCCGATTCAGCCGGGCTGAATAGAGTTTCCATTGGGAGAACTCCGATTCAGCCGGGCTGAATATAGTTTCCATTGGGAGAACTCCGATTCAGCCGGGCTGAATATAGTTTCCATTGGGAGAACTCCGATTCAGCCGGGCTAAATAGACTTTCCATTGGGAGAACTCCGATTCAGCCAGGCTGAATAGAGTTTCCATTGGGAAAACTCCGATTCAGCCAGGCTGAATAGAGTTTCCATTGGGAAAACTCCGATTCAACCAGGCTGAATAGAGTTTCCATTGGGAAAACTCCGATTCAGCCAGGCTGAATAGAGTTTCCATTGGGGAGACTCCGATTCAGCCGGGCTGAATTGAGTTTCCATTGGGAAATCTCCGATTCAGCCGGGCTGAATTGAGTTTCCATTGGGAAATCTCCGATTCAGCCGGGCTGAATAGAGTTTCCATTGGGAGAACTCCGATTCAGCCGGTCTGAATAGAGTTTCCATTGGGAGAACTCCGATTCAGCCAGGCTGAATAGAGTTTCCATTGGGGAGAACTCCGATTCAGCCGGGCTGAATAGAGTTTCCATTGGGGAAACTTCGATTCAGCCGGGCTGAATAGAGTTTCCATTGGGGAAACTTCAATTCAGCCGGGCTGAATAGAGTTTCCATTGGGGAAACTTCAATTCAGCCGGGCTGAATAGAGTTTCCATTGGGAAATCTCCGATTCAGCCGGGCTGAATAGAGTTGCCATTGGGAGAACTCCGATTCAGCCGGGCTGAATAGAGTTTCCATTGGGGAAACTTCGATTCAGCCGGGCTGAATAGAGTTTCCATTGGGGAAACTTCGATTCAGCCGGGCTGAATAGAGTTTCCATTGGGGAAACTTCGATTCAGCCGGGCTGAATAGAGTTTCCATTGGGGAAACTTCAATTCAGCCGGCCTGAATAGCGTTTCCATTGGGAAAACTCCGATTCAGCCGGCCTGAATAGCGTTTCCATTGGGAAAACTCCGATTCAGCCGGGCTGAATAGAGTTTCCATTGGGAAAACTCCGATTCAGCCGGGCTGAATAGAGTTTCCATTGGGAAACTCCGATTCAGACGGTCTGAATAGAGTTTCCATTAGGGAAACTTCGACTGAATAGAGTTTACATTGGGGAAACTTCGATCCAACCAGGCTGAATAGAGAGTTTCCCTTAGAAACTTCAATTCAGCCGACCTGGCCGCAATAGAGTTTATCTATGGAAATTGTAATTTATCCCAGTTCATTTAAAAATCTCCCTCTCCCACAACCTTCTCCCGCCCCTTTCCCAAAAAATTAAACATCATTTCATTTTTGCTTTCAGTTTCATCGAAATTCTCATTTTGCTTCCAGATTATTAGAAGCAAAATCAAAAGATTAATAAGTAGTTTATTTAATAATACATTTTCCTCCTCTTCTCCATCATTATCATCAAATTCATCATCATTTTCTTCGTTATCTCTCTGTGGGTCCATGGAAACAATTGCAAAGTCCGGAAATCTAAATTCGGTCGTTTTATAAATATTATCAGTTGCTAGGCAGCTGTGTCCAAGCTTCTGATAATATTTGTACAGTACTCCTCATAAAACATAGGTGTCATAGTAGTCGACATCGTGGCCGGAAATGAAGGAGATCTCCTCCAAAATGTTGATGAGCTTGAGGGTGGCCTGTTGCGGTTCCACACGTGGCAATTTTAGTAGTTTTTCATCACCCTCACCGGCATTGATGACATCGGCGACATCGATGACATTGTTGTTGTCATCATACTGGGGTTGATGAGTCTTCAGAATACCGGGGGCATAGCTCATAACGGTAACATTTTGTAGACTTTCATCCGAAGCCACAGAGCGGAAGTACATGTCACGGGCCTTCTTGCAGGAACATTTCAGGGAGCTATAGAACATCGGCTGCAGCATGAATTGGGAGTTGATGTTGATCAGCAACTTTGGGGTATCCTTGAGAGCGGCGCACTTGATGAATTCTTGATTGAGAGCAACGGGAGCATACAATTGTTGATTGGCGAAGGCCATCCAGGATTCGGCGTCCTGGGGTTCCATTCAGCATGTGGGTAGCAAGAGTACCCTCGTTGTGTACAATTAAGCGAATTCAAACTCCTTAAAGCCTCCAGCTTCTTGCTGGGGGAGGCTGAGTACAGTGGCAAGCAATTGTGGAACAACTTGGAATCGGCATTCTGCCAGTCCATCAAATTACAACAAATAACCTGCAGTCCTTTGGTTTGGGTCTCGATCTCCTTGCGGACCTCCTGCAGGCACTCATCGTCGACATCGATGAGCATGACCAGGGATCGGTCTGGAAACGCTGGCACATTTCAATCGCCAAATGTTTGCCCAAGGGATTGCTGACTCCGCTCAGGACGAAAAAGGATTTTTTCTTCAAATCCATTCTTTTGGCCGACATTGTAATTTAATTATTTAATTATTTTCTAGAGTTAAAATTAATTATTCTTTTTTTTTTTTCAATTAAAAAAACGGAAAGAACTTCTTTCTTGTTTTTGTCTTCCACCAAAGGCGTGTTATTCCACTTTCGATTGCTCTACTGCACTGAAATTCTGGTCGCTCCGTTGTTTGCCAAGAAGACTTTTTGCCAAGTGTCAAAGCAGTAAACGACTATATAATCCGATGTGTGTTGTTGGTCTGGACATGTGTGGATCAGGCAGTTGGGGGTTTCTATGTATTTATATAAATGGACATCAGCCAGCCCCGATTTCTTATCTCTTTGTCTGGCCTGTCTATGAGGAATCGAAATTTCAGCATTCGTAACATCATCAATTTTGCTTATCACCTCGAGAGAGCTCTGAATGATTCCGTTCGTAAGCGGTTCAAATCGAATCAACCAATTTAAACCGCTACACGGCACAGTGTCATGTGACAGGCGGTGAATTCCAAAAAAAAAAAAGCAAAATTAGGTGAGGGCGATGGTTCAGGGGCCTTTTTTAATAGGTTTTAAATAAAAACACAGAATAGCTACATACGTATATCGGAAATTATATTCTACTCAGCCCGGCTGAATAGAGTTTTCCCATAGGGAAATTTCTATTCAGCCCGGCTGAATAGAGTTTTCCCATAGGGAAATTTCTATTCAGCCCGGCTGAATAGAGTTTTCCCATAGGGAAATTCTATTCAGCCCGGCTGAATAGAGTTTTCCATAGGGAAATTTCTATTCAGCCCGGCTGAATAGAGTTTTCCCATAGGGAAATTTCTATTCAGCCGGCTGAATAGAGTTTTCCCATAGGGAAATTTCTATTCAGCCGGGCTGAATAGAGTTTGCCCATAGGGAAATTTCTATTCAGACCCGGCTGAATAGAGTTTTCCCATAGGGAAATTTCTATTCAGCCCGGCTGAATAGAGTTTTCCCATAGGAAAATTTCTTTTCAGCCCGGTTGAATAGAGTTTTCCCATCGGGAAATTTCTATTCAGCCGGTTGAATAGAGTTTCCCCATAGGGAAAAACACAGAATAGCTACATACGTATATCGAAATTATATTCTACTCAGCCCGGCTGAATAGAGTTTTCCCATAGGGAAATTTCTATTCAGCCCGGCTGAATAGAGTTTTCCCATAGGGAAATTTCTATTCAGCCCGGCTGTGAATTGAGTTTTCCCATAGGAAAATTTCTATTCAGCCCGGCTGAATAGAGTTTTCCCATAGGGAAATTTCTATTTAGCCCGGCTGAATAGAGTTTTCCCATAGGGAAATTTCTATTTAGCCCGGCAGAATAGAGTTTTCCCATAGGAAAATTCTATTTAGCCGGCTGAATAGAGTTTTCCCATAGGAAAATATCTATTCACCCTGGCTGAATAGAGTTTTCCCATAGGAAATTTCTATTCAGCCCGGCAGAATACAGTTTTTCCATAGGAAAATTTCTATTCAGCCCGGCTGAATAGAGTTTTCCCATAGGAAAATTTCTATTCAGCCCGGTTGAATAGAGTTTTCCCATAGGAAATTTCTATTCAGCCCGGTTGAATAGAGTTTTCCCAAAGGGAAATATCTATTCACCCCGGCTGAATAGAGTTTTCCCATAGGAAAATTTCTATTCAGCCCGGCTGAATAGAGTTTTCCCATAGGAAAATTTCTATTCAGCCCGGCTGAATAGAGTTTTCCCATAGCCCGGCTGAATAGAGTTTTCCCATAGGAAAATTTCTATTCAGCCCGGCTGAATTGAGTTTTCCCATAGGAAAATTTCTATTCAGCCCGGCTGAATTGAGTTTTCCATAGGAAAATTTCTATTCAGCCCGGCTGAATAGAGTTTTACCATAGGAAATTTCTATTCAGCCCGGCTGAATAGAGTTTTCCCATAGGAAAATTTCTATTCAGCCCGGCTGAATAGAGTTTTCCCATAGGAAAATTTCTATTCAGCCCGGCTGAATAGAGTTTTCCCATAGGAAAATTTCTATTCAGCCCGGCTGAATAGAGTTTTCCCATAGGAAAATTTCTATTCAGCCCGGCTGAATAGAGTTTTCCCATAGGAAAATTTCTATTCAGCCCGGCTGAATAGAGTTTTCCCATAGGAAAATTCTAGTCAGCCCGGCTGAATAGAGTTTTCCCATGGGAAAATTTCTAGTCAGCCCGGCTGAATAGAGTTTTCCCATGGGAAAATTTCTATGCAGCCCGGCTGAATAGAGTTCTCCCATAGGAAAATTTCTATTCAGACCGGCTGAATAGAGTTCTCCCATAGGAAAATTTCTATTCAGCCCGGCTGAATAGAGTTTTCCCATAGGAACATTTCTATTCAGCCCGGATGAATAGAGTTTTCCCATAGGAGAATTTTTATTCAGCCCCAAAATCGCGTTATCTCCATTTCATACTGTGCGGCACAGGTTTGTTCTTTGTTGTAATTCCGCTGATTTGTAAAATACCACATTTACCCAAGTATTGTTGTGTAATAAATGTTTACTGTGTATATAATCAATATTTATAAATCCAGTTCTGTTGCCATGACGAAAGTGTTTTTTTATTTTTGTTCCATTCCGCCATTTACACGAGCCCCATATCAGTGGCGTAGTAATTTGTGAATCACGCCAAACATGGTAGCGTTATCGCCGCTTCCATGGAACTTGAACTGCTTCTAAACTATTTGCACGATTGATAACCTTTTACGGTGATCTTTAAGTTAAAACAACAACATAACACACATTTAAAAAAACATCGTTGTATAATTCACCTTTATGAATTCATTCTGAATCTGATTTGAACCCATAGTAACCTGAGCAACGATTGCGTGAAATCAGAGCATCGAACGGACGAAGGACGGACGGGTATTGATACGTGAAGCTTGCAGCTGCCAACAATGTTCAGACCAATTCGGAACGTCATTGATTAGGGTTTAAGCTAAGCATTAACGCGCCCACATAAGTGTGAATGAAAGCAATGGTAAATGCAAGCTAAAATAATTAATTTAAATACAAACAATTAACATTTAAGCCTTTTAGAATTCTGATTTCAAAAATATTTTTTTTTTCAAAATGTGAAATTGATGATCTGCTAGTTTTGGATGTTAAACCTTACATAGAAGAGAAAATTCTTTTAGGTATTAGGTATAGAAGACTTGTATAAGGTCTTATACGGTAGAAGACCTGTATAAGGTATCCTACGTATAAAATACCTGTAGTAGGTCTTCTGCGTTTAGAGTACTGTAGAAGGTGACCTGGACATTACCGGCATCAAGTAAAACAAGTAAAAGAAACATTAAGTTCGACCGAGCCCAAACTTTTCATACCCTCCACCTTATATTCATGGGAAAATGTGCCAAAAATTATCAAAATACCGAATATTGGAAAATACGGCTATATGGGGCTATACAAAAACGTGGACCTATACATACAGTGTTTCGGCAAAAGAGAGAGAACCCATGAAGACCAATAAATACCAACTTCTAGACAAATACGCGAAGAAATCTGGCAAAAAACATTAAAATGCCGAATATCGGGAGGTACCATTATATGGGGGACTATACCAAAACGTGGAACTAGAACCCATTATGACCTACAAATACCAATTTTTAGGCAAATCAGTGAAAAAAATGTGGCAATAACCATCAAAATACCGATTACCGGGAGATACCGTTATATGGGGGCTATACCAAATCGTGGACCCATACATGCAATGTTTCGCCACCGGAGCTGGAATCCATTTGACCAACAAATACCAATTTTAGACAAATGCGTAAAAAAGGTTGCAAAAATAATCAAAATACCGATTACCGGGAGGTACCTTTATATGGTGGCTATGCTATTTTTAATACCAACCATCCTAGACACAATGCAAATTGCTCTGCTAAATTTTTGTGCTCTACATCCAATAATGTGGCTGTATCGTGATTTCAACAGACAGACGGACATCGTTAATCGACTTAGAATTTTATTGCTGATTATGAAATATATATACTTTATGGGGTCTACAACGAATATTTAGGGATGTTACAAACGAATGACAAAGTTAATATACCCTCCTTTCCAAGGTGGAGGGTATATTAATAAATAAAAAAGTATTCTCAAACGCATTTTAAATACCACCGAATCCACTACCTTTGATTTTACATCTGGAGGTTACTATCGTGGGAGTTGAGCTCTTTTGGACAACGTCTACGATGGTAAACTAAGCATTTGACCTGTTTCACAAATGTATGCTCAATAAGAGGAATTTACGAAATCTAGAACTTTTGTGGGAGGAGGCTCTAGATTTACTTTAAGTTTCGTAGAAAATATTCTCAAGTGCAAATCGCATACTCCCTTCGAAAGTTATAAAGTGCACCAAACAAGCAGACACCTATCTAGGTCTTACAGCCGTCATTTCGATGAGACACATTTTGGTCGTATCAAATGTTTGGTATGTCACAATATCATAGGTTCTTAAGACTGGGCAGAATAAAAAAAAACAGAGCCAAAATGTCTCTACATTGACTGAAACTGTTTACCTTACCCTTTACCACCCTTGATCCCAGTTTTATCAGAGAATTTTTTATACCCTCAGCCATATGGCTAGAGAGGGTACATATCATTGATATGGCCAAACGTGTCCTTATCGAAATAACGGTTTTGGACCATTGAACCAAATCCTTTTCAGGACATTTGGAGTCGATCTTGCGAACTCTCAAGGGAGTATCCGATTGATCCAAACTTGGTATATCGTAAAATAATGTCAAACTTAGATCGAGTTCGGAGGATGAGCGATTATCCGACTCTCCTTCTTGGTACCTCCCACAATATGTCAAAATTTTCAAAGAAAATAATTGACTGCACAGAAAGAGAAAGGATAATCCCGATTTTGCTACAGCTTTGTAAATCCTAATATTTCATCAGTTTCTAGGTCATCTGCGAAAATGACAATATCGGTCTACTCCATCCTGGTCAACATTTAAAATAATTAATACTCTTATAAAATGCGAAATATGCATCCGATTCTCTTCAAATTTCACACATCCCAATACTTCTACTTAAGCAAGATCTGGTGTGAAGATGAAATATATCGGATTACTCATTCTGGTACTTCCCCACATACGGTAAAAATTTTGAATAAACCATGAAGATCGTAAAACGCGTAACACAAGATCTGCTGTGAAGATATACCATCAGTCCACCTCTCCACAACAGGGTTTTGAATATCCATGAAGCTCAATTAAACGCGAAATTAACATCCGATTCCATTC